GAAGCTCCTATCTAATGGCAGACGTGCCAGTCTTATATAGAACCTTCATGTTCGTGGATCCAACTGGATCCATGGATCCTTTTGGATCCCTCCTGGATCCTCTGGGGTCCATCACGTGATTACAACCAAATGAAATCCCTGGATCGCTTAGCTAGTCTAACCGATCCCTATTCGCTATAAGGGTCCGTGATGTGCTCGTCCTGTCAGGGCGCCGCCTGGACTTCACTCCTCAACGTGCTGCGCACGTGATTCGTGACATTTAACTAGATACTATAATCTACCTTTAAAGAAACCTATAACTAAGAAGTATACCTAGGATATTCTTACTAAGTCTAAGAAGATAAGTTTAAGGAACTAAGAAAATAACTTATTTAGTAAAGTTAGCTCTATTTAAATAGGAAAATAAGAATTAAAGTAGATCCTTCTAAGAGATTATCTAAGCTATCTTTCCTATCCTTATATATTAGTACTATTTTAGACCTAGCTTTAATAAACGTGTTATTTAGTAACCTATAGTAAAACCTTAGGGTATACTCTACTATACTTGATTTTAGTTATTACCTACTAAGTAAGAGTACCCTACTAGATAACTATAGAGTACTCTACTTTATTAATAGTAAATTATTACTTGTTCCTAGCTCTTTTAAGCTAGTGAGACCTAATAAGACTATTAAAGCTAGGACTTCTTATATAAAGATCTTAGGTTATAGGAAACGTATTATAAAGAAAGTAATGAATAGCTTAGATAGACCTAGAACCTAGGACTTTGTGATGGTTCTGACCGCCACTACGCTACAGGCCAGCCCCTGGCTGGAACTCGGCTAAGCAGGTGCGCTTAGCACACCTCCTGTATATAAGAACCTCCAGCTCCTGAGCTTCTGTCCTTTCTTCTCTTCTCTCCTCAGCTTAGAATCTTCGTATAGACAGTTCCACAGTGTCAATCTCACCACTCGTGATACCTGACGTAGTGTCACGAATCACGTGTTACCACGGGAGATAGTGAAGACCAGGCGGCGCCCTGACAGGTCGAGCATTATCATAACTCTTATAGCAGAAGGGGATCCTTAGGCTAGCTAAGCGATCCATGGATTTCGTCGGATTAAAGTACCACGTGACCATGATCGCTTCAGTCGCCTGAGTCGCCTGTCGACTGAAGCGACTGAGGCGAGCGACTAAAGCGATTAGACAGAGAACGAAGGTTCTATATAAGACTGGCACGTCTGCCATTTAGATAGGAGCTTCGTGCTCAACTTAGTTATCAATCTTATCATATTAGTTTGACATCTTTGATACAAGTAACNCAAGTAACGAGTTCACTTCCAAGTGAACAACCCGATAGTATTCTTCTTATCATAGCATACCAACCAGCGAACACCCAGCCAAGTTTAGTTAGCCAGTTTGAGTATTCGTTACACGTAGTCGTGCACTTTTGCGCGGTCCATCAGCTGTGCGTGTCGTCACAGACTTAGTACTTAAAAAGGTTACTATTATAAAAGGATTCTATATTAATATTATATCTAAAGGTATATTATTAAAGAAAGGATTATAGTTTTTAGGATTAGATTATACTTTATATATTAGACTAGTAGTAAAATCTTTAGTAGTTAAATAGTTAAAGTATAAGCTAAACCTAGTCTTCTTTTAATATAAACCTATTTCTACCTATCTATAATCTCTAATACTAAGTGTAATAATATACCTAACTCTTAATTAAGAGAGAAGACTATTTAGACCTTTCTTCGACTATACTTAACTAAGAATAGATAATATTACTATATAGTACCTTTATTTAGAATATACTAGTAAAAAGGTACTTAAGGAACTTATTCTTTATATGTATAATATAAAAATCTAATCTAGTATAATACTCTCGTCTCGATATGGATTTTTCCCTCGTTCCTCGGATCCCCTAGAGGCTCTTATACTAAGATTAATAAAAATCTAGAGTATAATATATATTAAGTATAAGACCTATACTATTACTTATATATTATAAGTTATATTATAATAACTTTTAGAGAACCTACTACCTTATCTTTTCTAGAAGGTTATCTAAGATCTATTCTTTTATAAATTAGGAATTAATAGATATACTATATTACTTCTAGTAAAAGATATATTTAGTAGAAGACTATATAGTTACTAGTTAATAGATAAATCTTTAATAGGTATCTTTAATAGCCTTTAATACTTTGAACTATAAGTTTACTATTAGTACTAATTATCTATCTATATCTTAAAGTTAGATAATAAGAAAGTAGTTATTAGGATTAAAAGAGATACTTTATTTAAGACTTAGGCTAAAAAGTAAGGTATAGAACTTGAATTATCTTCTACCTACATATATAAACCTAATAGTTTAATTAAGCAAGTAGGATAAGAGGTTACTATATACTTTATTAAGATACTAACTAGTATAAACTTACTATTAAAACTCTAGCCTAAATTAATAAAGGCTATAGTATTCCTTTATAACTAAATACTATCTAAATACTATAGTTAAAAATTACTAAACAAGGTTCTATATTCCTAGTTCTAGTAGTACTTCTATTAGTATAATCTAGAGATTACCTCTTCTATTATATTTAATCTAAAACCTAACTAGAATAGAATCTATATATATAGATATAAAGCATATCTACTTATTAAAAAGAAAGAAGTAGGAAAAGAAGTAAAAGCCTTTAAATTAAGACCCCGCGGGTATATAGGGTATCTAGTAGAATATATTAATTATAATATCTACTAGATCTAGGTACTATAACTTAATAGAGTTATTATTACCTAGAATATAATATTTAATAAATCCGTCTTCTATAATAAGATAAACAAACTAAAGGATAGCTATCTAATACCTATTATAAGAGATATTACTAAAACTATTACTAAAAATAAATAATAAGACGCTAAAGCTATTTTAGAGTATAAAATTATATTTAATAATATATTGTCACGAATCACGTGTTTACGTGACGAATGAAGACCAGGAGGCACCCTGACAGGTCGAGCACTATCCGAGTAGTTATAGCAAATAGGGATGCTTAGACTAGCTAAGCGATCCAAGGATTTCCTTTGGTTACAGTCACGTGAGATATGTCGCTAGACGGGGCGACTGGTCTACCAGTCTAGCAGCGACCGAGCGACGAGTCTAGCAAGCTAGCACAGGAGAACGAAGGTTCTATATAAGACTGGCACTTCTGCCATTAGATAGGAGCTTCGTGCTCAACTTAGTTATCAATCTTATCTATCATATTAGTTTGACATCTTTGATACAAGTAACGAGTTCACTTCCAAGTGAACAACCCGATAGTCTTCTTCTTATCATAGTATACCAACCAGCGAACACCCAGCCAAGTTTAGTTAGCCAGTTTGAGTATTCGTTACATTCCACCCCGCCTTCCCGAACCCTACGGGTCGCTCCGAAGCTTCCGATGTGCAACAAAAAAATGGGAGGGGGGAAAGATGACTGTGTGTTTATTTTTAGAACCACTTTTTTTTAATGGTTTTAGATGGATTTTGATGGACACGAGTATATATTAGGGAGTTTCGAGTTTTTTTGTGAGGCTTAGGACTGGATTGTGTGTGACGATGGTTTACAGTACTCGAGTATGAGTGGTGTGAGGGGAGTTGTAGGTTGTGAGAATGGGATCTGGCTGGTTTTGGATCCTGATCTGACGTATTATTATAGGTTACTGTGAGGTGAGGTTTTGAGAGGTGATGACGTTGTACGGAGGTACGGTATGTTGGGAGGCAGTCGTGGAAGGAAGGAATGGAAGAAAGACATTCTTCCTTTGAATCCTTTGTCATGCGCACAGGTAGGTATGTGCATGGCATCTCGCGTAATCATCCTCTTTAGGCTGATGGATGGGCTTCCTGAGATTAGGAATCCTGTCATCTTGAGAGGGTTAACCCTAGATCTTAAAGTGGCTGCAGGTTTGGGTGTAAATTCTGGGTTGTATGGTGGTTAGTTTTGCTGTACATTGGATTGTATGCGTTGTGGTTTTGAGATATGGAATGGTGCGGTTAGTCATGGGGTTTGTTGTGCTGTTAACACTAGTTGTTTTTGCTTTTGGTTGCTGTTTTTTGGCTAGGTCCCTTGAAGATTGATGGGTAAGGAAAGCTTACAAGAATTAACGTACAGATTGAATGATTTTAGTCAGCGGTCAGAAGATGGGAATGGGTCAAGATCTCCTACGGTTACCTAGAATCCTCACTCAAATCCCTTTATCTGGGGTGTGCTTCAGAATCTACGAGCAAGTGCTGTGCCTCAACTTCTGTGCTACCCAAGCGGGCGCCCCCTCTACGGTCTACATCTTTATTTTCTTTAAATATAAGAGCGTACGTGGGTTAGTAAGATTTGAAAACATAGTACTTTTGGAAGGCACCTGTGAAATCCTTTATGATGTTTGTTTCCAAATGCTTGTCTGTTCCTTCGCTATATTTGGAACTTTCCCCAGCTTTCAGTCATACATTGCCACCAACACCTTATTCCTCGGCACTTGGTTGAAACCATCAGGATCTATCATGGTAGTCAGGGCCAAACGAGCCTCGTGGTGACTGTGGAAATGTACGATGGATATTGTGGGGTAGCCAATAGGAGATTTGTTTTCAGTCGTGGTCGATTCCTTCTCCTTTCCTTTCTCATCACACTCTTGACTTTTGTTACTACGTTACTGTTTCTTTCCATAAGGAAGATGGCAACGTTGGGAATCTCTCGTGAAACGGGGCTATACCGAGGAGTTGAAGCATGGGAAGAATGGTATATAAGTAGAGAGAAAGTCCACTGGAACATAATCATCAACAACAGCTTCATCAACCACATTCCTTCATCTCTTTCTTACACTTCTTTCTCTTTCATACTCTACTTACTTTCTTCACATATACAACACTTCTTCCAATCTTCTTTCAAGTCTATCCTCCATCAAATTTCAAAATGTATACCAAATCGGCCATCCTCGGTCTTCTTGCCTTGACTGGCAACACCTTTGCTGCTCCAGTAGCAGACGTAACTCTTGTTCAACGTGAAACCTTCAAGGGAACTGCCTTCAAAGGTGATGGAAGTGCCAAAGCTGGATGGCCAACAGACAGCAAATGGGTGACATTCGACAAGATGTAAGTTCCTAATCCACAACCCCTTCTCTCCTCACCTCCAAAAACAAAAACAGATAATTAACAACTCCCAGGTGGAGCACCAACAAGCCCAAAATCGGCTGCCCAGCAGGAACCACCAAGAACTCTGCCGCAGAAACCGACAACATCAAAGCCGGCATCCAATCCGTCGCTAAATCTAGCGGCGTGGACCAACGCTTCATCCTCGCCGTCATCATGCAAGAATCCCATGGCTGTCTCCGCGTCGGCGCCACTGCCTCTCCCGGCGCCGGCGTCAACAACCCAGGGATCATGCAATCGCACAACGGACAGCATAACTGTCCTGCCAGCGGAGCGTGTGGCAAGGATATCATCACGGGTATGATTGCTGATGGAACGACTGGTACCAAAGATGGGAGTGGATTGAAGCAACTCCAGGAGAAAGCTGCTACTGTTACGGGTAGTAAGGAGAAGGCTCAACTCGCTTATTGGGCTGCGAGGTACTATAACAGTGGCGAGAATAGTATTAAGAAGGGGAGTCCATTGGAGATTGATACGAATGATCAACCTGGGGCTACCCCTAGCTATTCTAGCGATATCGCTAATCGTCTTATTGGATTCTCTGATTAGATAGATTTGGTTGGAGGAAGAGGTGGAGAGTATGTTTTGAGTGTATATATTCTTGGTGTTTGATTTTCTTTCTTTTCTGTTTTGGTTTTGTTGTTGTTTAGGGTGTCAGCTTTGGTCTGGTCTGGTTTGGTTTTAGTGGCGGTTCGCTTGTCGAATAGCCCCTTTTTCTATCTTGCATGTTTTATAGATACATTTTAGCATTTGAAATGGAGTTTATTGAGTTTCATGCATTTACTGGATATTAGACGTAAATATTCTATGAATAACTTTGAGTGAAAAGTATTATTAGTAGAATTTTAAAATGCTCTTTAAAAATGCCCATTATAGATATAGCCTTCTAGTTAGGGTATTCATTTCACACTTTTCTATCCCCATTCTAGCTATTTATAAGGATCTTGGTAACTGAATACTCATGATATTATTATAAATTCACTAGTCTTATAATTATCTATCAAATTTACTTTTTTGAAGAATCTTAAATAAGAACTTTCAAAGATAAATAAAAGAAAACTCCTTTTATACGCAACAACTGTAACTTAGCTCAAAGGGTTTAAATCAAAGTACCCTAGAAGGTTTCAGGAAACAAAGTTAGTATAAATATATTCTCATAAAGATGAAAATACGACCCGGAATTCTCGTTACTAGAGCATTAATTATAGTTTTGAAGAAAACGAACCCCAGATTTCCGATTTTCCACGCTTTCCCCAAGTTTAACCCGAATACCTTCTCAATAATAACCTCTCCCTGAACAGAAAAAATATCGCAAACAAACACAACTCAACCTCCTACTCGTTCGGAAAACCCACGGTGCGGATATCACCCACCGCATACGTGGAAATTCGTCATCCCGCCCGCACTCACAACGGAGAAAAAAAAGCCAAAATAACCTTAAAAACAAAAACAAACAAGCCTCGTCAGAAAAAACACGAGAGGGAGAAGATCTCCGATCGATGAGCAACAAAAAAAGCAGGTTCCGCATGTGCGTACATGCATGGCGAAACTCGTACTGGGAACCAATCAGGTCGGATGCCAAGCAAGATCCGGAGGTATTGGCCGCTGGTATTTGGGACTTGTTGGAGACACCGAATGTGTTTGGGGGCGGAATGAGATGTCGAAGTAGACGGGAGAAATGGAACTTGTTACGGGATATTGGATGGAAAAAATGTGCTTCGTCAATCATTATTTTCTTCTATAGTCCAAAGTGGTAAACGCTAAAACCCAATCCTCTATTCTACTTTACACGCCATAGCAATGCATATCACACCCCCAAACCCTATTGACACTCCGAATCAATGCCAAAAATAGCTTTACTGAGCAACAAGCACAGCTCTATATCTCATCCCCCCTTTCTCTAACTTCGCCATCGCCTCCTCAATCCCCTCAGTAGTCAAAGGGAACTTCTCAATAACAGGTCGAATCTGGTGCAGAGCAGCGAAAGCCAACATCTCATTCTGAACCGCCCTGGTAGCAACAAGACTCCCCTGAATCTTCAACTCCTTCATCAACAAAGGCATGTAAGGAATTTGAAAGTCCTCTGGAGAGACGGTAAGAGGGTAGATGGAGGAGGAAGGTGCCATGATGGGAAGGAATTGCTTCCAGTCTGGTTGGAAGGAAGTGCAGACCAGGAGATGGTCGATTTGTCCCGAGACCTGGAGTTCCTTGACGTTCTTGGTGGCGACGAATTCAGTGGCTCCAAGACGCATGGCTTCCTCCTTTTTGGAATCCGTGCTGGAGAAGACGGTCACGTTGCAACCCATCTTAGCGGCGAATTGGATGGCAAGATGTCCAAGTCCTCCAATACCGATGACACCAATATGGTGGGTTGGCTTAACGGCGAAGGAGTGGAGGACGTTGAATACGGTTGCTCCTCCGCATTGAAGAGGAGCAGCGAATTCTCGGGAAATGGAGTCTGGGATCTTGAAGAGGTAGTCCTCTTTCCAGACGGCGTGGGTAGCGAATGAACCTTGGTCCAAGTCGGAATTTCCATACATAGATCTATTTGGGCAAAGTGTTTCGTGGGCAGTATAACATTGCTTGCAATGTCCGCAAGCATCATGTTGGTAACCCCATCCTACTGAATCTCCTTCCTTAAGAGTCTTGACTGCAGAACCAATTTCCTATAACTTATTAGTAGGCGTGGAGTTATTGGAATGGTGTTTGACTCTATCATACCTTTACAACACCAGCACCTTCATGACCGAGGACCATATCTTTGCCCTTATGATGTTCATCCGTACCGCATACTCCCGAGTGGGTGACCTCGACAAGGACCTGATCTGGTTTGATTTCTCTTGTGGTCTTTGACTGAACAATCTTGCGGTCGGCAGAGCCTTTGTAAACTGTGAATTCAACCATATTTGCTGTCTGATTTCTGTTTTGGAGGTAAAAGTGGTAGAGTGAAATGTGTGTGAGGACAGATAGTTGAGTGGAAGTAGAGAAAATTTATCAGTGACGGCCTTATATTATATATACCTATACTGGTCCACGGAGCAGGTCCAGTTTGCCAGTTTGCCAACAATGTGGATTGTTAAGCGACGGAGATTTTTCTCGAAATATATCAGCATGAAACTGAATTTGGTTCAAAATGATGCCTCTTTAAAGTTCATCATTGGTCCCGGCATAGTGGATCTATACAAAAGTGGTCGGTGTTGACTCGGTCTGTGGACGCCCATCCTTGAAAAGGTACCATGAAAAAATGATTCGGCTTGGACAATGCCATTGGAAATTAGTGGAGATTTTCTCATAGGGTTTGAAGGGAGACGTAATCTCCAAGTACTTTACTAATGAAAAACATTTGAGGAGTTCAACGATATATTACATGGTTGAACCATCTAGTAAGTTGAGAAAAACACCACGATCATAAAAACTTTTGGGCTCAATTTGAGTATCAGGACAAAGACAATCATCGATCAGATGGGAAACTTACCCACTCTCATGCTCGAACAACCGAGGAAAAGTTTCTGTTACCAAAGGGGCAGCAGCACAAGAATGGAGCTATGACGTTGAATCTTGGAGGGGTCCTGAATAAGGGGTTCAAATACCCTTATCGCCACGTAAAAAAATATCATATTTCTTTCAAGTCCGATCGGCGTTAAGGCTCTGGACGATTAGGGTTTCATTCCAAGAGATTCTAGCTTACCAAAATCTAACTTTGTAACGCCTTAAAGAACCCGTCATGCTTGTTGTGTTCTGGTGGGATGCGGCTCGATCCACATCTTATCATTGGGTGGATTTTCCCCGCCGATACTTGATTCTTGAGGCGGGAAAAAAGCAGATCCATCGGCCACGACTCCAGAAACAGCTACGCAGAAAATTCGAGTTGCCAGGGATCTTCACCAGAAAACGTGCTTTGCAAATAGTTCGGGAAATCCACAACGATGATGGTGACAGGAATAGCTTGTTAAGCGAACAAGTTGAAAGTCATACTTTATGTAATTTCATTTTTCACTTAGCAAGTCCACCACCTTCTTGCCTTTCGCACCGCCTAGATAGACATTGGTTTCACCCAAGTCCTCGTCGTCTACCGTGACTGCTGCTTCGTACCCTTTCATTACCATATCCTCATCAACTCGAAATCCTTGCTCGACTAAGAGCGTTATGACTCCTTTTATCCTTGAAATCTCCGTTCTGGTCTCCGGACCTATATATTCATTTTGACTTGAATATACTGTGGCGCTGATGCTCTCTTCCATTCTCGTAATAGCCGTTTCGCCCCCAGCGACTTCAATGTGCTTGCTGATCCAAATGTAACCATTAACACCGAGTATGACATCCACTTTTCCTCCTCCGTGCATCGTATCAATGGTCCAGACCTGTCTGCGAGCTCTCACCACACCGCCACCTCCACCAGTACCGGTAACACTCATGAACACCCCATTTCTTAACTTGCCGTACTTCAAACTTCTTGTATGCAAACTTGCACTTCCATCTTGGCGTAAACTTTGGACCTCGGCAACCAGAAGATCTCCTTCACTGAAAAATGTTCGAATCTCAAGTTCGTCGGTCTCGGTCCTTTTGCGCAGGATTCCTCCAGGGAGATTAATGGCAGCAAGAGGTAGATCTGCAAGATTGGGGGCTCCCACATCAACGCGCCATCTCTTCGATTGTACTTCCATTATGCGACCAACAACCAAATCTCCAATTTCGGGGGTATATCTTGCACGGAGGGGACGAACGGAGAGGAGTTTATTGGTTTTTTGGATGGTACCAGCTACTGTGGCTATGATCTCAGTACTACCTGGTTGGATGTATGTGCCATGACCTCTATATTCTTATCAGTAATCAGACTGTGATAAGGGAGCTGGGCGAGTTCAAACCTCATCCATTGAGCATCGTCAGTGACAACCTCACCAGGAGTAACTATACTGAAGGTAGAATGCTTAGCCCGTTTGGTGGGTCGCATTTCATGGTCTCCTTCCAGATCTGCTCCACCATTGTCAGAATCTTCCGAAGGATCAACTTCTCGATATATGGGCTCAGCTGGAGCCGGCGCAAGTATTGTAATCGCCATGGTTGAAGATATGGAAGATTAGGAGACAAGGCTGGAGATGTTCGTAGATGAAAAAAGGCAAGGCTCCGTAGCTACCTTACCCCTGCAGAAAATGGCACGTGATTATGACACCAACCAAAAGCGGCAAGCTACCTAGTCAACCTCAAGCTTGATAGACAACAACAACAGACAAGCTGTTGTATCAATAATCTTTGACCACCAATAATGGCTCTCGTTGATTATTCTTCATCCGAGGAAGATACCGCACCCAATCAAGATCCCCCAAGACCAGTCAAAAGAGCACGCTTAGCGGACAAGGCCGATGATCTACCTCCACTCCCCTCCAAGTTCCACGACCTCTACGCATCTACAGCTCGAGTAAGTACAAAGGACGATCCAAGTCTGCACAACGGAAGGAAAAGGGCAACTCCACATGTAGAAGGAAATTGGCCAACTCATGTTTATATCGAGTGTAAGTACTCTATTTAGGTAACTTTAAATCTTACAACCGACCATCGCTAACTCGTGTGAGGGTATCCTTCGCCAACAGAATACACTTCACTAAAGAACTTGATATCAGCATTACAAGAAAAACTGCCATCCGAAAACGAGGCTGTAATCCATTCATTCTTGACTAGCGATCTCGGTGCTCCATTGCCTCTTCACATCAGTCTTTCACGACCAATAGGTTTCTTGACCGAAGAGAAAGATGGCTTTGTGACTTCACTAGAGCGATTTATCTCAACCTCTGGAATACGACCGTAAGTTGTTGCAATATGAAAGTATCACTTTTGCTAACTAGTCAGGTTTGAAATCAGGGTTTGTGGTCTTTATTGGGTAGCAAACTTTGAAAAGACTCGATGGTTTCTCGTACTACGAATTCATCAGCCTGCCGAGAATGGTCTAAACAAACTTCTTCATACAAGCAATACAGTTGTGCAAAATCATGGCCAGCCACCTTTGTATGCAAACGCAATGGTGTCTTCCACGTCAATAGACAAAGGAAGCAGCCCAAAGGGGACCGGTAAGCTATCAGGACGAGGAAAAAGAAGGCCCGAAAAGATTGATTGGAAAGATATGCAAGATCTTTCCTCAGCTTTTCATATCAGTATTGCCTGGACACTCGAATCCCCAAGCCCAGGACTCAAACACGTTACAAGTGCCCTGGTTGAGAATCACTTCAAAGAAATGTCTAACATGGAAGTTAACATCAGCGAAATCAAGGTGAAGGTTGGTAATGTTGTGACGAGCTTAGGATTACGTACGAATGCCATAGAGGGGAGGGGGTTATTCGGCATGTAACGTCATAGTAGGTGTTAATGATGATTATAATCCTATCTTCTAGTGAAAAATCAAAAAAATAAGCTGTGTGGAGTTTGTTATGTGGAACTATGCAGAAATGATCCAGATTTCTCTAAAACTGACGAATACCCTTTTCTGTGTCTCCCAGCTCATTATGCTTTCTCATTATAAATGTAGCTCGTAAACTCCATATCTACGGAACGGACATACACATCACCTCCATCCTTCGATTTCAGATCTAAGAAACCAATCAATCAATGAACTTCTATCTCACGATGGAGAATGCCCCCAATACATCATGCAATCACTATCGTATGATGGTAACGAGATGCCCACTACACTCACACCTTTTTATTCAATTTTCCAGCGAATAAATACGGGTTTTAACAGTGCTTCAAACCAGAGAAACAGTGAGTATAATTAGGGTTAGAAGTTCCTGGATATTTGTGTACATGTAATCTTACACTCCTCGTCATTTCATCAAGAATCGATCATAAAATTTGTTTCTTCACCAACCTTTACGCATCAACACAGCAAATTATGGACTAAATCCAAAGCTCTCTCCTACCCAAGCCCTCTAAATCACAAACCAAACATCTCAAATGGAAAATCAAATTACAAAGAGAATAAAATCCAGTAGATCATATTCCTTTGTCCTAGATGATCTTTTCCATGACCTAGGACAAAGGCTCTGGTTCTAGGAGTAGGAGAGTTAGTGTTCACTGTTTAAACGATAGTCACTCACACTCTCACATCCCCAATAGCCATTCCGTCAAGAGTCTCGACTTTCTAATTCCTAGAGGTGTCCTAGACTTGCGGGGTATTGCTGTGACGGGTGCTAGACTTTGAACGACCTGAGAGGACAGTCTGAGATAGGCCTGACGAAGAAGGGGATGCAAAAAAGGGTGGGCTTTACATATGCAACAAGATGAGTATTTTGTTTTGGGTTGGGCTTTGTTGCGGTAGAGAAAGTAGAAAAGTAGGACCTTGTTGTCTCGCGTTTGAGGAGGAGTCAGGAACGATGCCAAGGCAGAGAAGGAGCGAATGTAAACGAGGACCTATTTCTTAACTACGCAGCTTAACTTATGTCAAAGCTCTGGAGTCTGAAGTGGTTTAATGATCGTACTTTCCTTCTTAATCCTTAATTGATGGTGACTTCGAATACCTCAAAGCATGCGTGCGCACTTAAGGAAGTGCCAAAAGTTGTGCCGCCTCGTTAGGACAGAGGTAAGAACCAAAGAGCCTTAATACTAGGTACTTCTCTATCAAGAGCTGTGTTCAAATATTCAGAGACAGTTAAAATCCGAGTTCTTAAACACATTTCATCGTGTATCTATTGCTTGCTATCTACAGTATTACTAGCTAGCTTACTAGACTGAGAGAGTTACCGTTTCCCCAATATCACCTCAACGACCTCGACACAATAGACTCTTGGTATCCTCCAGGCAAAAACCAAAAGTACCCAAAGGAACAAGTTCCGTTTATGATAGGTACCAAAAAGTACCTCATCATCAAGAACTCAACCACACCAGGTTCCATGTCAAAGAGCCCTCATACCTCACGTAACAAGACACCCTCAAGACAGAGCGCGCAGTAGCAATCACCGAGGAACCCGAATCTGCCACACACATACACACATAGACTTCAAGAATTCATGAAGAAAATGCAACATACATCCCCTCATTCCCCAAGGGATCTTCTACAGCGGGTATTGAAACGTAGGCTGCCTTCTCGGTGGCAAAAAGCCAACAGAAGCAAATCTCCCACATCCGGTCTCCCAGCGCGGCTATTTTGACGCACTCACTTGTCCAAGTACGAAGGGAAGGGAATATGCAAACGGGGTACACAGCGCTTGCTGGTCCCGTCGAAAGTTGTAGGGCGATGGAGGTAGAAGTCTACTCGGCGTCAAACCAAGAAACCCACTTGCCGAATCCCCGGGATGATTGATGTCAAATCCAATCTGCAACGCTACAAGATGAACCGTTGCGATTGCATCATCCAGAACGGAAAATGGAGGACCTTATTGGTTTGGCGTGTGTGACTCCTCTTCTCGATGTCGACATCTTCTGCAGCGCGGCTGAGTTTGTGTCAAAAGATACAAGGCAACATAACTGAACAAGAGACCAAGCAAGCAAGCTTCTTCCTCAAGAGACCATTGAAGCCCTGCAACGGACCTTTACAACAGCACTTGCATCCAAAACCAAACTTTCTTCTTCAGCGGCCCCACGTGTAGAAAGCGTACTATGACTGGAGAAAGACTTGGAGATGATCATCCACATCCCTCCCTCACTCCTGCGACTTCTCTCAGCTCGCCGGAAGATGGAGAATGGTCTCCCGCTTCCCTTCTTTTCAACATCTTGCTTTCATGCTTCTCTCCACTGTACACACACCGATTAGCCCAAAACCCTGTAGATCGGATATCAAAACTCAGCCTTCGTCAACACCTTCCTTGCATTCGACCATTCGCCGGGAATTGAGTAGGGAAAAGGCTGCCCAAAGTAACATCTCGTGCTCTCCGAATCATGCGACCGCCTTTTCGACCCGCGTCTGGCTTCGAATCCAGATTCGATGCGTATTCCCACCCTCAAAACACAGTAGATTTTAAAGAAAGGGGGACCACAAAAAAAGATGTGGTTGCCCTATGTCCAACAGTCAGAGTGCCCACTCGACCCGGCCCTTCCATTGAACCGTCTGACTCCAAACCAATTCGCACCTCTTTCTGCCTTGCGCCCCCTTTGAACGAAAGAAAACAACGGTGATGGGAAATTGAAACTCCACAAAAATCACCTCATCATAAGGAAGGATACTATCGTGAGTGTGACCTTCAAAGTACCATTGTGCTGTGCCTCAGCGGCCGTTTTGGCGACCCTAATCCCTGTCCAACACCATGGTAGTCAACAGCAAATAAGACTAAGGCAAATAACCTTACCGTACCCGCAACCCGTCGCTCCTCGCGGTTAACTCGCCTAAAAAGTACAACCTCAAAAGCTAACAAAAAGTGCCAACTTGAACCACCATTTGAGAACCTCCAGATTTCGGTGTTGGTTGGTAATAACCCAACATTTCGTGAGCAAGCGAAGATCAAGAAATAGAATAAATCCCAACCCAACCATCGGAGCCACGCGAGTTATGCCCTACTGCGCCGCAATTGGCGTCCGACGATGAGACCGCCGTGGTCGCGTCAAAATCGACCACGAGGCTGTGAATACTCGTATCCGATCCCTCATGCCTCTCTAACCTTCAAAAAGAATTAAGGTTGGGGGCCGTTCCGCATCATCGTGGGGCCAATCACCAACTTGACTTATTGGCCAATGGAAACTCGTGAGTGAAATCTTGCATGGTACTTTCCCCTCCCCTGAATAAATTGACTCCACTATATATTCAGGTTTACAAACCGAGTGGCCAGTCTTCATTTGGGGGCTCAAAATTTCGTCAAATTTCGTCTATGGGGTTATTGGTGAAACCAGACGTCACGTCTATTCAGAAGTTGATGAATATTTGATCTTTGCAGATATATTTCTCGAAAAAAAACATAACAAGTATTGTGGTTCGGGGGGAAACACCTTCTCGGAACTATCCATGGTAGCGGAATTTCAACCCTTGTTTTCAAGCGGGGTTGGTCTGGAAAATTACCCAAGTGAAGGGTAGGTGATTACAATGTGGTCTCGAGGGTCCTCTTCATGTATCGCCAGGTAGAACGCCCTTAAGTGGCTAAATACGTAGTTGGAAAGTCGACAATATTCCACTTCGTTCTGCGATGACAGAGGCAACCGGTAATCAAACGGGCTAGGAACCAAATCATGGTACGGATGGAAAGATAACGGGCTCTGCCACTTTCAACTCTGGTGCATCCCATCCACAGACCTTGCTCTTCAACCCAATGAATCGGAGCTCACTCCATAAGCCCCGGATCATTTGTTCTTCCCTCGTGGATGTAATGGCAAATAGGTTTTATTGTCCAACATTAAGACCGGACCCATACCGCACCCACACCCCCTATAATATATCACACATTCCGATAGTGCACCGGGTCTAGTCGTAAGAACGTCCATTTCTGCACAGGGCTTAGGGAGTTCCAACCGGCACCTCCTCACTAATCACTGCTCTGATGCTGGTATCAACCAATTACTTGGAGATATTTCCTCGCCATGAACTTGCAGCAAGCGCAATATGAACTCGCCCTCATTCAAATATGACTAAGCTGGAATCATTGCAGTGGCGTGATTCGGCGAAAAGAGAAGGCGCGTTAGTTGTTGGTGACGATCCCTCCTGGCTGAGTGTTTTCAGCGGCAGGCGGAAAGCTTTCCTATCCAGCGAATACAGTACAGATGAACGCCTCTTTCAAGTTGAAGCGTGGGCAGACAAAGCGATGATGCCATGGGAAATTTAGGAAAAAGCTTGATGGATGAGGCAGCAGCCCTAGGTGAAGATGCGCGACGAGATGACATATTTTTGTTGGTTACTGTGTAAAGACCCGCCACAGTCAACAACCATTGATAAGTTGCCCGTTACTGCTAGGTACGGCGAAGGCGTTGCAGGCAAGCAGAGTACTGGTGAGAAGCGAAGGAACAAGTGAACAGTTGCGCCTGGAAACAAGGCGCCCAAGACCTTCAGGTAAGGAGCGGAATCAACCACATCCTGACGCGATGCATTCATGACTAGAGATCAACTTGGTCGGATGTTTTCAAAATGGTCCAGAAGAAACAACACGGATATCGAACAAAGCTTACCTTGCCCGGTTATTGGAAGGAAGAGCGTCTCGTATCTCGGAATAGGTAGCCAAGTAGCACTTCTGATGGGGAGCCACGCCCATTGAGTAGATTTGTAAAGTAGCCAGTAGGAATGAACTAAAACTCTTACATATATAGGGAATTCAATGAACACTTTTATTCGATGTGCTTCCGCGAAGCCACTCGAGACCCTGAATGCGGGGAAGGGTATCTTGTCACCAAGGTCCTGCAACCGAAAACTGATTATCGTCGGCCGCGGGTTGGCGGCAAGTATATAAGCAACAGGTCTAATGTTGGCTTACTACTTTGTATAAGTTGCCATTGCATGTAACATCTCCTAGGCGAAGGGCATCTCTGTGAATGTGCGACTTCCATATGGTGTACAGCGACCGAGCAGCGACATCCCTGAAGTCCAATCCTGGCGAGTCTCGAGGGCACGTCAATTGGTTTGTGTTAAACTTACATTCTTGGCCAATCATGATTTTAGCTACCAGTCTTGATTCGAGACGTTATGCCCAGAATAAAGTATTGGTCATGACGTAAAAAGATAAATGGCAATGCCATATCCAAATGAGACAATGGATTGTTGTTGAAAGGGTTGCGAAAGGTTCAAGGTACCTGTCATGTCGTGACAGCAACCAGCATGGCTGACCTCCCTGAAATGATTATGCATGCTTCTGGCGTGGAGTAGTACTGCATGTATCTCAAGTCCTATGATCAAACAGTCAAGCCTGGGAAGAAACACACTTCTCTATGCGGCTGGTTCTCATATTCGAAAGACGAAATGTGCAGTCTCGTATAATCCAGCACCGGCTGGCGGACCGGCTCCTCCAGCATCAAAATAACGAATCATGAGCATGTACACATTCTGTACCATCGGACACGTTCTGTACCATCGGACACATTCTGTACCATCGGACACATTCTGTACCATCGGACACATTCTGTACCATCGGACACGTTCTCCAGATATACACTGGGCACGCGCTTCGTCTTACGGGGCACCGAGGTTCCTTTCACCGTCTATTTCCCTATTTCCCGAATGTTACTCTCGCATATGCAGTGCTTCCTTGTAACCCAAACACCGTTTTGACAGACTGCGAGAATCGATACTTGCTGATTCAACGGGCCATTGTTTTCAGAATGAATTCCGATGCCCGTATAATTAGCGCACATTAGAGGTCTGCCAATCATCCCTGCGTATTTTGAGGTTTTGATAGCATAGAAAGAGCTGCATGGTTTTCTGGGATCTGTGGCACATGGGCAGGAAGTTGTTGGTGGAGGTTGGTGCATAAAACTTTATGATATCGTCAAGAAGCTTGACTGATGGACGGGCAACATTTTCATGCATGTTGATATGTATCTCCCTCGCTGTAACTGGAATAGAGTAGACATTGAACGCTGCAGCTGACAGCTGAAGCAAGCACCCGTGGTCAAAACAGCATGACATCGGGGCCCTGCAGATGTTTAACCTGCTGTCTATCAATTGCTCGAGTGCCTGTTATGAGACACAGCAGCAAGTGGCAATGGTTCAAGTTGCTGCAAGACATACCTTGCCATCACATGGACAAGACGAATTGCCCACTGTTTGCAGACTCGGTGATTGAAAAAGTGATGATGGTTCTGTGGAAGCTTTGATCCGAGCCGTCCTCAATAACGGTGAGTGATACTAAACCATCATCCCGTGCGAACAACTGTTGGCTCCAGTTCGCTGAATGGGCCTCGCAAGATGTGACTGTGAAGAGAAATCAAAGTGATCTCGAAGGGTATAGGTTGAACGTGAAATTAAGCGGGAGGAAAATTAGAGGCATCATGCATTTCTGCGGAAGTGAAAAATCCTCATCAATCAAACATGTGAGAGCCGAATGCAAGTGCTGCTAAATCGCAGCACACTAAGTAGAGGCAAGTTTTTCTAGACATGCAACCACGATCTGAGAGTACGTTGAGCGGCCATGAGCCGGTAACTGGCCTCAAGAAAAAACGGCAAGTGGTTGATTTACTGATGATTTTCCGTCGTCCTCGAGACAAAGTAGGCAGTCGGGAGCCAGCAGAGCCGAAGGGCGTACAAACTTCCGCAATGGGTGAAGAATCAAGCGGCGAGAGAGAGGCGGGTTCCCAACTTTTCCTCCAGCAATTCAGTATCATAAAATCTTGAGATGGAAATTCTGATCAGTGTGGAGACGTTCACGCGCGTCTGTTGGGCTGAGAACCAGGAAGCGCCAAAATGGTCAGGTAGCATTTGGATTTTGGAAGACCGAGTAGACTGAATGTTTTGTCTTGCCCTTCGTCTTTCCTATCTGGTATATGGTCGAATGTGCTCTGGGAGAGAAAAAGTGAATCATTCGCCGTCGTCTTCGCGGTGGCTAAATGATAGGTAAGTTGGGTGTAATGAAGTATGGAGACATGCTGTCGGCAATGTGCTCAACAACATAGCTCCACGGCTCCTTGATGAGGTCGATGCTGGCAGCCGCGAGATTTGCCGCGACGGCCACGATGATTGGGTTTCATGCGATGCCATCGTACACAAGCTTCCCTGCCCATGCATTTCGCTGCGCTGTGTGCGTCTCTGCATTTTTTGCACTCGGTGTCACCAAGCGCAGAATGGCCTGGCGTGGCATGGCATGACATGCCGAATGCGGTACACAACATGAAGGCATCCGCGTCCGCATCCACTGCGGCTGTCGTGCACAGGTCCTGGTGGAGTCGTCGATCAAGGCAGAATTCGAAATCGAAGGTTCGAGGGTCGAGGGTGTGATGAAGGGCTGAATGCAGGGACAGACCGGGGCGGTTGAGGATGGGGATGGGATGGGGATGGGGATGGGAATGGGGATAGGAGGGAGTGGTGGAGGTCGAGGGTCGCGGGTCGAGGAGAGGAGGCCAGGTGGTGCAGGTGTTGAGAAAGGAAGATATCTCTGTCGGTATGTACCAATACTAGGCTTGCTAGGTACAGGCCAGGTCGGGCACAGGTACCACTACCACCACCACTACCCTAGGTAGAGTACTTACAAGGTAGCCATGCATCTTAAACGCAGACGCGCTCCAGGGCTCGGCTAAGCCCCCCAGCTAGCGTGGCTGCACTTCAACCACCCCTCGCTTCTGGCTTAACTCAATGCACTGCTCTGCCCGCGGCACTGCCAACTGCCCTAAACGGCAGTATGACCCCTCTGTAAATTGGATACTGCCCCCTCTGTCGCTTGTCGTCTACGAGTTGGCTGTGGCGACAGAAACCCGTCGATTTGTTACCTGTCCCGTAACCTCTTCGGTAGGGAGACCGTATACGTAAGCTTAGCTATATTCTGCGTGCTCAAGTTGGCTGCTGCTGCTGCTTAGTCTCTCCATGTCATGTGCTCTACCTATACAGTACTGTACATGGCCATGGTGGCAGCTGTCCACCACCCACCGTCCGCCGTCCGCCTCCTGTTGCGGTCTCCCACGTTCGCCTACTGTAAGTACTCTTGCTCGTGCCGGCCTGCCTGCTTGCTTGGAGAATGCGCCATCTTGCTGTCAGTCTATCACATCTCTATTCGCCATGAGATTTTGCCCTCTCCCCACACTGCTTGGATATATTTGCCCTGCCCCACCTGGAGACGTTCTTTGCTCCAACTGGAGTCCACCTATCAGACCTCTGAATAGGCGACCACCCTTTCCGTGAAAGCCCAGTCAAGGAAGCTTAGGTTGACCCATCCCCTGCCGCTTTCCCATTCTCATGTGCTGATATTTCTGTCCTTCACCGTCACATATCCCTCGCCCGTTGTTGAAAGGGGATTCGAATCCTTTGGTTGGTGTTGGCCTTGCTTCGAGTGCGCTCTAGTTCAGAACTCCAACAAGTCATTTCTCCAAATTCCTACAGTACCAACCAACGGGCGTCCAAAGTAGGGATAATTCCTGGAAAGTCGCCAAATTGCTCATCATTTTGGGATGGGCAAACAGAGACTCCATTCCAAGCTGAGAAAAGTGAACCATATAATCGGTAAGGTGTCAATGTATATAAAGTAGTCTTCCTTCCTCTGAAAATTTTCCTCAACAGCTCAACAACCATCAGCTTTTCATCAATTCGAACTCGCATTCATACCTTCAATCATCAGCTTCAATCACACAAACCTCCCTCAAGTATGTTCATATTCATACCATCATGGCGATTTCCCTCCATTGACTCATATAGAAGTTCAACTCCTACCATCAGACAAACTCCAACAACTTCCACCAAACCACCAACCATCATCAAAATGGCTCGCTCTTGCACCAGTTATGAGATCCGCTACAGCTGTGGCCACGTGGAAGAAAGATTTGTTCACGCTTCAGGATGTCCAAAAAATGGAACTTGCAAAGTCAAGGTCGAAACTTCGTCAGTGAACGAAATTTGCCCCAATGCTGTATGCCCCAATGGTGGTCATTAAAGACGTATGTATCCAGACAAGTATCCCCAACATCTGATACTCAGCTAATGATAATGTCTAGTCCTCCAAGGCTGCTTGCATGCTATTTGGAGGAAATGTAACTCGGAGCAAGGGATGTTTGTGTGGAAGTGTTCTGTATTATTTCTTGTTTTCCAGGGACGTGTGTTCTGATCCTACGTTTGAAGATTTGTATGGAGTGTTGGGGAGGCAACGTTTTTTGAAGTGAGGTTTTCGGTTCGGTTGAGTGGTGCTAGATTTGGGGATATAAGATGTGTTATTATTACGACAATTCCTTCTTTTGACAAATGCTCAAGTATTTTTTTATCTTGATTTTCACAAATAACTTGACATGGGCAACGAAATTGATGGGGAAAGAGCTCGGTCATGACCTCTTAGCTAAGATTATGGCTTCACTCAAGATCCGAGTTGGAAAAGAACTCAGCTTTACTTTGGCTCCTGGAGTGAAACCGAGATACTGTCGCTATCCAAATGGCAAAGATGTTCATTACACGTCTGCTCATAATTTGACGCAGCTAATGCCCGATTAGCAACTGCACTTTGCGCTGCTGAAAGCACTCTTTCTTGGTTTTGGTGGAGAGAAAATCGTACGCCAAAAGAGAAGAGATATGCATGAAGCTACTTGCGGTATTCCTCACAGGCATCTCAAGGAGATAATGTGATTTGACATGCATATGGAGCGCAATCTTCGGGGTCCATTTTGTGAGCCATACTGCTGTACAACAACCCTGCGTGTGAAGACATCCCGCGCAGTTAGTCCACGAGTCTCATACAGCAGAAAGACCAACATGATATCAACAGGAGAGCCACGTGGATAGATTCGTATGACAAGCTTAAGTGGTCACTTGGGTCACCGAAACCATAGTAGCGTAAAATGCTGGGTTTGGGAATGATCGCGAAAGTGCCTTCTCTTCGACAATGACAATGCTAATACTGCATTGTTTTCCACCAGTAGATCCCAATAGAAGTTTGAACACCTACTTGTGGCGTATCCCTTTCGATTCGTAATCGCTTAATGCAAACGAGGAAGCAAAATGATAGATGTAGAACGAGCGGCGAATGGGCCACCGTGACGAAACTCGAAAGAGCCAAATCTGGAGCACTAGCCCTAGTACCGCTACCTTGAGCATAAAAGAGCAATACCATGTACTGTTTGGATCATCCCATTTTCATCCCAAAGTATGTCGTGCAGATGAAAACTCCCTTAAGGTTCGTTGTAAATGCGGCTAATGCAAGCCACCAGGGACACAGAAGCGAATCAGAGAAGCAAGTCAAACGCCCAGCGCTTAAAAACACACATGGTGTTATCTCTGACATATGTTATCTGGTAGCAGATCCTTAGGTCAACGGAACGATTTTCCATGTGGTCCCATGTTGTACCCATGCTGTACCCATACCTTGCCTGCTTGTTCCTCGGGCATCAATTTTCAGATACTCAATAAATAAATTGGTAGATGAGGAGTAGCTGGCCAGCCTGGCTCTATCGATAGGATCTCACTTATGACGCTAGCCAACGGTCGAAAAGTTGGTTTGGTTTTTGCAATCGAGCCAAACACTTGCGCCATAAACGTGGGCAAGATGGGATAGCAACAATCTTGGAGGAGTATTTATACATTACCAAGCTGTGTATGCGAGCTATCCCCAGAACTATAAACTGACGACTTGTAAACAAGGCCTGAAATCTGCCGGAGTCTACCCTCGGATCTCGGTCGAAATATAAACAGAGGCATAACGTTATGTCGAGTCCCAAGTAGCGAGGGACTTGCTGGTCATTTGCTTTCGATTGAATCTTCTCAAAGTCGCCGTGTAGGAATTTGGAGACTTGGTATGGTGTGTTGCCTACGATCAAGGTTAGCGACGGAACTCCAAACCTTACATCCGTAAGGCAGTCAATGCCAAGAACGCCCTACAATGGGCCCGTGCATTCGCTAGCGACCAACCAGACGGTTTCTACGAGACCAACGACCCATCCACATGGAACGCATCAACCAAGCTTCACATCACACCCACCTCTACCAACACAACCTCCAGGCATTCAATTAACAAGTCCAACTTTCTGCCTGAGTCAATGGCCCCCAGAACCTCTCGCCTAATTTAGACGATACCTACTCTGAATCCTTGCTCACATGCGCGTCGACAATCCGAACTGCTTAAGACTATATTCTCATACACCCAACCATCTCCCTTGGTCTGGTGATCTGGTGGTCTGGCGGCCTATGATTTGAGATGTCCATTGAACTAAATTGGGAAGCTCTGACCACCGGTCCGGATGGAGTTGCCTTGGCTGATACGATCCGGGATTTTGTTCACGAAAAGTTCCAGACGGTGACATTGCCTCGTTTTATCAAAGGCGTCAAGGTTCATGCTTTTGACTTTGGCAAAGTGGCACCAGAGATTGAGATCAAGGACATATGTGACCCCCTGCCCGACTTTTATGAGGAGACGGAAGATGATGACCAGGAAGAAGGGGAAGGTAGCGATGAAGGGTGGCAACCCAAAAGTGAACAGCAGGACAGTCTAAGGGAGAAGCGCAGACTAGACCGGTCGGAAAGGAAGAATGAGCCCGTAAATGTTCCCAATTCTCCTTCATATATCGACACAAGATTATCGGGAATAAGAACAGGCCAGGCTCCCGGAGACCTAGGAAGCCCTTTCTTGGGCGTCAGTACACCTGGTATTCCCGGAGGAACTTCGAACCTTGGCTACTTTCATTCCCAGCTTGCCACTGGATTATCGGGAACGCAAACACCTCTCGCTGCTGTTGCTGGGGCACATCTTCCCCACGGCTGGCCTGACTACACAAGATTACCTTCTGCTGGTAGGGGACATCGTCACACGCATAGCGGAAGTTCTCCATCCCCTTCACCCACAGTAGACGTGGCATCCCAACTCCTCCGAGAGCGCGCAAGTGTTTCCACGTTAGCACCTTCAGCTTCCACAACCAGACCTCAGACTAGGGATGGACCTAAAGAAGAAAGCATTGAGGAAGAGGCCTCGTCGCCGCCCAGGAGATTTCGAGAGCCCAGAGTCGAAGATTTGCAGACGGTGTTCCGTGTTCGATATTCCGGCGATATCCGGCTATCATTGACAGCCGAAATACTGCTAGACTATCCTATGCCTAGTTTTGTAGGCATACCTGTCAAGCTGAACATTACAGGCCTCTCATTCGATGGAGTTGCGGTTCTTGCATACATTCGGAAAAGGGCACACTTTTGTTTTCTTTCCCCAGAGGACGCATACGCGGCAATTGGAGCAGAGTCAGAAGACCGCCACCCCCATTCCAAAGGTATGAAAATGGGTGGATTGCTCCACGAAATCAAGGTGGAAAGCGAAATAGGGCAGAGAGAGAATGGCAAGCAAGTTTTGAAGAACGTTGGTAAGGTGGAAAAATTTGTGTTGGAACAAGTTCGACACATCTTTGAGGATGAATTTGTATACCCTAGTTTCTGGACATTCTTAGTCTAGAGTGTTCCACCAACGATGATACCCTACCTAAACTTTATACTGTTGTGGTATCCTTTTGATAATCCGGCCTCTAATGGCGTTGTGGCTTTCCTCCTCATCTGCGGTTTGCATTACCAAGATGCACTGAATTAACAAGCTCCCCTCTTCCTTGGATCGTCTCGAGCGTGGGTTGTGTGAAAACCTTGAATTTCTCACGATAGTGATATAGTTGGTGTTTTGGTGGATTTGATTTGCAAGTGACTGGGTGACCTATCATTTCAAAGTTTCTTTGAACCCTTGATATGCGGCATTCATATCCAGCTCCAGTTCTCTTGCTTGATCTTCACTGACTTCTTCCGTAGCCTTCATCTGATTGAGTGTAATTAACCACTGAACAATCTTCCCCCGACCCTCGAAATCATTGTTCGTGACCTTATTAACACTTTGAATGACATCTCTCAATAATGGGTGCAGCTGGTCTTTAGCAAGAAGGCCTAATCTGACGGCATCGAGAAAGGTAATGAAATCTTGAGTTGCTTCAAGAATGCGCTTCCCATTACTCTCACCAGTGCTTGGGGCAGCCTCCGTATATGAAGTGGCAGTCGTCGTACTGGGCATGCCAATCCTAATCCGCTCTGTCGCTCTCGGCACTTCCATCTGATGAAGGTCAATTGAAGGTAGTGCCGTACAAGATAGTAGCAACGTACGTCCCATTCATTTTTAAAGGTTTCCAAGTCTACAAATTCCCTAGCCACAGCCTCGTCGGCGAGAATTGCTTTGTATTGATTCAGCAGTCGACCGCAAATCTCCGTGTAGTCGGACTCGGGGATGGCATCTTTCAGGTATGCCTTTTCGGTCTCGTCCAGTGTAATAATAATACTGAAGACTTCTGCGAGAGAGTCTTGAAGATCTCGTTCAGCTCTAGTCTCGGCGAGTTTGACTTCCTGTTCGGTATTGTTAGACTAGGAGTACAGGCGCTCGAGCAGTTGGTAGAACCTCATCCAGATTTATGGTTGCCGAGAGTGTGGTATTCGGAATGTAGCTGTGAGGCGTTGGCGCATAAGCCTGGTTTGTTTGGTACATTGCGAGTGCTGATCCAGGTATCAACTTCTGACAGCGTGCTTTTGAAATGTACAAGTACCGTCAGGATAATGTTGATACTCAGATGTAGATGGAAGGTCTCCAGCCTTGTTCTTAGGTATGGAAAGCTGTGGTGGGGTGACGCATGGTGCTTGCTGGGGGCTGCTGGTGCCAGTATAGTGCCGAGAACTGTGCCGACATGGTGCCGAGGACTGAGCTGCCCCAAAAAAAGCGGGATGCCAAAATTTCCTAATCAAAAAAGTTCACGAAGCTTGACAACTCGCCATCCCCAACCATCGTGATCGTACAATCTTGTCGCAATGGCCAAAAACACGAAAAAGGCGACTCGAAAGTTCATCAAGAACCGTCTTCCGGGTGTTCTTGAAAAAAGAAAAGACGGCGCGAAGATTAAACAGCGACAACAAGTGAAGGCCAAACGACAGGCGCGAAACGCAAAAGATGCCGAATTCTTGGGTGGAAAAGATGGGGAAGAGGGTGCTAAGTCAAAGGAGCCTTCAAAGGAAGATCCATTTGGAAAGATGAACGTGGATGATTTCTTTCAAGGTGGTTTTGAAATTCCAGAAAGACCCGCGAAGAAATCGAAATCGAAATCGCAATCCTCGTCGAACGCAGAGAAGCTCGGCAAACGGAAACGATCAGAACCAGAGGATGACAACGAAGACGATTCCTCCGAGGCGTCCTTTGGAGAAGCCCCTGTCTTGAGCGATAGAGATGCCGGAAGCGACGAGGAGGATGCGACGGGCATGAGTAAAGGAGCTATGGAAGCATTGGCACAGAACGACCCAGAATTCTACAAGTATCTCAAGGAGAATGATCCTGAGGCGTTGGACTTTGACGAAGATGCAGATTTGGCTGAGGTCGACGGTTTAAGCGCCAGCGACGAAGAAGATGCACCGAAGAAGAAAAAGCAAAAGAAATCAAAAAAGGCTGCTGTGGACGAAGCTGATGGTTCTGATGACGAAGATCCTGACTCGGCTGAAGTGACCAAGGCTATGGTAACAAAATGGACTAAAGCCATGACAGAGGAACACTCGATGCGGGCGATGCGACAAGTTGTGCTCGCATTCAGAGCAGCAGCTCATGTCAACGAGGACGAAGGGAAGGAATACAAATACACGATATCGGATCCCAACGTCTACCACGAGCTACTTCTCTCCACTCTCAAAAATGTACCAATGGTTCTCAATCACCATCTGCCGGTTAAGGAGTCCACTGCTGGAAAAGTTCGAGTCTCAACGGATTCGAAAAAGTTCAAGACACTCACGCCTCTTCTCAAGTCGCACACATCATCTGTCCATCATCTTCTGACAACCCTCTCAGACGAGGCAACTCTCAAACTCACCCTATCCTCAATAATTCCTCTCTTACCATACCTTCTCTCGTTTAAAAAGGTTCTTAAAAATGTTGTCAAGACTGTGGTCAATATCTGGTCAGATGCCGCAAGCTCGGAGGCAACAAAGATTACTGCCTTTTTGGTGTTGCGAAGACTGGCGGTCATTGGAGATCCCGGACTTCGAGAGGCTGTTTTGAAGACCGTCTACCAAGGATTGATTAAAGGTAGTCGAACAACATCTGTTCACACAATCCAAGGAATAAATCTCATGAAGAATTCCGCGGCTGAGCTCTGGGGAATAGATCAGGATGTGGGATATTCTACCGGATTTACCTTTATTCGCCAGTTGGCCATACATCTGAGAAGCAGCATCACCAACAATCAAAAGGAGAGTTACAAGACAGTATACAACTGGCAATACGTGCACTCATTAGATTTCTGGTCTTGTGTACTCTCAGAACATTGCAGCCCTTTGAAAGAAGCAGAGACCGGGAAAGAATCCCAGCTTCGGCTCCTGATCTACCCCACCGTACAAGTCACACTTGGAGCTATGCGGCTTATTCCAACTGCAACTTACTTTCCTCTTCGCTTTCAATTGATCCGGTCACTTCTTCGGCTTTCTCGAGCGACCGGTACCTACATTCCTCTAGCATCTGCACTTCTCGAAGTTCTCAATTCGGCAGAAATGAAGAAACCCCCAAAACCGAGTACAGTCAAAAGTTTGGACTTTGCATCTAACTACAAAGTACCAAAGTCGTATCTTCGAACACGAGTATACCAAGATGGTGTTGCAGAACAGCTTGTTGAGTTATTGTCAGAGTTCTTCGTGCTTTGGTCAACAAGTATTGCATTTCCCGAGTTTGCATTACCTGTGGTGGTTATGATGAAACGATGGCTGAAGGAGGCTAGTAACAAGAGTACGGGTAATAAGAACAACAAGATTAATTCCAGCTTTCTATTACTTAGTCAAATGCTGGAAAGGAACGGCAAATGGATTGAAGAGAAACGGGCCAAGGTTGATTTTGCGCCAAACAATCGTGCAGGGGTTGAGGGGTTCTTGAAAGGATTTGAATGGGAAAAAATTCCCCTAGGTGCATTTGTCGTCGGACAGAGAAAGCAGAGAGAAGAAAAGGCGAAAATGTTGGAGGAGAGCCGAAGAGAAGAGGATAGGAAACGACAGGAGGATAGGGAGAAGGAAAAGGCCGCACCTGAAAGTGATGATGAAAGTATGGAGGATGTAGATGAAGATGAAGATGACGACTCAGAGGCAGGATTTGATGAGGATGATGAGTGAAATTGTCGATATATGTGGAGTTTGGAGTTCAGGTGTCGAGATAATGTTACTTGGACGGCAAATCTGTCTATGTAGGGCACCGCATTAGGGGGGAGTTACGGGGGACAAAATTAAACCACCCGTCACATGATATTTACTTCGAGGATCCCACAAGTGAGATGTTTCGCGATGATGGATGTTTTGCTCAACAATTTCAGAACAATTCAAAGTATTCGTTCTAGGAGATTCAGATAAAAGTTTCGAGTTATTCCAACCACTTGAGCCAGTTGTTTCAAGTTCAAGGAAACTGGAGTCAAGCTTCAATTCTACGAAATGGTAAGCTACGAAAATAGGTTCCCATCGCTTCTCTCGCCTGTCACGCATTTGTATACGGAAAGAGTGTAGAGGGCGTTGATGTGTACAATTAGGCTCAATGATCAAATCTTGGGTGGGGGCTTATTGATTCTGTCGTTGTCAATCAGCCAATAGCAGCTTCGTAATCACGGGCGTGCACAGCTTGATTCGCAGACAGAATAAGCGAGTTTTTGCGAACCTCACATCTTTTTGAACTCTTTTCACGTTGCTACTCCCACAACCTTTTGGGTACCTGTCGTGACATATTTTCAATCGGCACTTTACGGGAGACATCAGATTTCAGAGTTGTTTTGAAGACTCCAGCAAATCATTTCATGCTGCCACTCATTGACATCGGATTGGGATCACCGAGTCTCAACGTGCTTGGTTTCACAGAGCCAGCTAGCTTGTGCAATTATATGCTTGTTAGCTAACATAATGGGTAATTTTTTGTCTGTGGACTTCAGATGTTCATGTGGGACGGGTCTCCACTGTAAAGCCTCGTGCCGCTATGATAGGCCGGTTGTTGCGCTCAACAAGGAGCACTTCTTTAAGGAGGAACGTGGGAACATGTGAGCGGTCAGATATCCCGAGTTACCTGACTAGGATACAACCTATTATATACATGTTATCCTATTTTCTTTCCCTTCTTCTTTCTTTCGCTGTCCATCAACTCGAAATTGTACACGAGTATCAACTACCTCAACCTCAATTCCTCATTACTCTAGCAATGAGAGAGTATCATGGCTTCTCTTACCCTTAACATCTTTCCTCAGGATGTTCACACCCAAATCATTTTAGTGGGAGCACTTTTGTTGCTCCTCATTGGCGGGGTATTCAGCCTCAATTCTCGTTCTCAATCCGGCAAGAGCGATCAAGAGAATCCCAACGCCTTCACATCTTTCCTTCGATTCTTCTACGCTTCTTTCTTGAAACCACATACTGGAGATGGTACGGGAAATGGCCAGCAAGATGCCCTCGAAAGTTTTTACAAGGCACAGGCTGGTGTTTATGATGCGACTAGGAAGAGACTTCTTCGTGGGCGTGAAGATATGCTTGGACTAGTGGCTGCTCAGTTAGTCCACAAAGCCTCGAAAGAGCAAAAGAATGAATCCAAGCCTATCTGGGTCGACGTAAGTACATCAAATAGTCTTCTGTTCTCTTGAATCTGAACTGAATCTCAAACTATACAGATTGGCGGAGGAACAGGATGGAATATCGAAGCCATGTCGCAATTCGTCTCCGTTCCCGATTTCTTTTCTAGCGTTTACTTGGTTGATTTTTCACCATCACTCTGTGAAGTAGCTCGAAAACGCTTTGCACGATTGGGTTGGGAGAATGTGAAAGTGATCTGCCAGGATGCTAGGACTTTCCGGCTCGAAGATCATGAAAACGACGTTTCTGATCTAACATCTTTTTTTCCAACAAAGTACCCGAACGACAATACCAGCAGCGTTGGTGGTGCAGATCTTGTGACGCTCTCGTATAGTTTGTCTATGATTGTACTGTACCACATTCATTCTGTCCTGGCTAAATGCTAACTCTCACAGCCTGACTTTTATTCTGTCATCGATTCCATCACCTCTCTACTTGCACCCTCTGGTACAATTGGTGAGTCTTTTATCTCTTAACGCTAAGGAGCAGCTGCTTACCATAACAGGTGTCGTCGATTTCTATGTTCAATCTATCGTGTAAGTCGAAAGACCTCAAAGGAAAATATCTTTTTTTGGCAGTTTCTAGGCACGAGATACTCTCTGTCTTCGATGATTTGCTCATTTCCATCGCTTCAACACTACGAGCAGATTCAAACCTTGCTGACTTCGATTTTCAAGGGATTTGAGCTGTCGAAACTATACTGGTGGGGCCCTTAATAGACACGTCAATGTAAGCAACTTACCTGTTTGGCCCTTCTGTTAGAATTTGCGTAAGACTATCACAAAAGCTGTCAGCAGCTCTTATTCTTCCTATTTGCTACCGTAACTCAAGGTGTTAATCTAGACTGTCTGGAACAATCAATATCACTTGTTCCAGAAGTCTCGATTGATGTTCTGGGTTGCGCTCAAAATACTGTACAAGACAAGCATCTCGGAAACTTAGGATTGATGGCTACTAATTTGCCTCCAATGGTTCTCCTGGTATTTTATATCACAATATTTTATTCTAACTTGTTGTAGTGGTTCGGTCGCTTATTTTGGCGTGCATGGTTTGATGTCGATCGTGTTGGTCTTGAAGCTAGTCGCAGAGATTACCTTGAATATCGCTTTGGTACAGTCTTGAGCGCAGATTCTCGCAACTATCTTCTAGGTTCAATTCCATACTACGTATGGCTAGGTTGTTCCAAACGCCCTTCTTCTACTCTCGGACTTCCCAATTACCCTCAGGAAATAGTCGAAAGACTCGATGCTGCCGTTACAGAATCTCCGTATCTCTCACCAATCAATCATACGAAGGCACTTTCCCGCGCCGTTGAGAACTCAACGCCACCTGAGATTAGATCAAAAGCATTCGATGCAGCAGTTGTCAACCTATCCGCTAACCTTCCACTGCCGTCATTCTTCTACCAGAACCATCACTGGCGAATTCATTATGATGATCAAGAGAAGAAACACACGCAGTTCAAGCATGAATATATTTATGCCTTCACATGGGAAGATACTAGAGTGGACCATCGCTTGTTGCGAATTACTTCTGGCGACAAAATCCTCTGTATTACCAGTGCAGGAGATAATGTTTTGTCTTACGCACTATCTTCGCCAGCTCGTATCCATGCAGTTGATCTGAATCCCAATCAAAACCACCTTCTAGAGCTGAAAGTGGCTGCCTTCAATGCTCTACCGTATTCCGAGTTTTTCAGGATATTTGGTACTGGAAAATACTCTGACTTTCGTTCCCTCCTTCTGACAAAATTATCACCTCATATGTCGTCTAGAGCATTTCAATACTGGCTTAACAATACCCAAGTTTTCGAATCCAAATACGGAAAGGGTCTTTACGAAACGGGGTGGGTGTTCCCTAGGTTGATCTGTATAAGCTACTAGAAATGGCAATACTGACTCCAATTTTTTGTAGAGGCTCAAGACATGCCATCCGTGTCGTTCGACTTCTTGCAACCACTCTCGGATTCAGCTCTCAGATCAAAAAGCTTCTCTCTGCCAAAACACTCAACGAGCAACGTGAAATCTGGTCCAAAAAGATACGACCTTTGATCATGTCCAGATTACTCTCCCACTTTGTAGTTTCCCAGGAGAAATTCCTCTGGCTGGCACTAGGTGTTCCCAAGAACCAACTAGCCATGATCGAAGCCGACTACCTAGCTTCCGAACCGCTTCCTAGCAAGGCATCGTCAACAAATCCTCTTGGACACACAGAAGCTGAACTCAATTCATCCAGAGGAAAGGCGATTTGGGAGTACATGATTCAAACTCTGGATCCCATGATAGAAGAGTCTCTAATCGGCGACGATAACCCATACTACCTCGTTTGTCTCCAAGGCTCTTACTCTCAACGTTGTCATCCGGACTATCTTAGCCCAAAAGCCCACCAGAAGCTCTCCCGGCCTGGTGCTTTTGACGGCCTCCGTATCCATACTGATGAGATCAACGAAGTGGTAAACCGTCTCCAAAGAGGAACTCTCACTATCGCGGTAATCATGGACTCCATGGATTGGTTTGATCCCGGAGCCGATGAAGCAAGTATCCAGATCTCAAATATCAATCGCGCTATGAAACTTGGAGGAAGAGTCCTTTTACGATCTGCTGCACTGACTCCTTGGTATATTTCTACATTTGAGTCACTTGGATTTGTGGCCAAGAGGGTTGGTGCAAGAATTGCAGGGGCTTGTATTGATAGGTATGTATAATAATTCTCTTGTTCATTAATGAGGAGAGAAATTTTGATAATGACGATTCAAGGATCAATATGTATGCCTCTTGTTATATCTTGACGAAAATCGAAAATCTACCTCCAGTCAAGGCAATCGAGCGCGGTGGCTCGGTAGATCTCGAGGAACTTGAAATTTGAGAATGGTTCGCGATATCTGAAGTGGAAGAAAGGTCACAGTGAAGGAAGGAGCGAGTTTGTAATGATATCTCTCACAGAGAGTTCTAGACTGTATTGAATAATGATACAATGCCTGTCTAAAGCCATGAATGTCCTAAACCAACCCGTAATGAAATCTGTATACGTGAAAATACAAGCTCGCCACGAGCTGGATCATTTCTAGCAACGTCCCCCGCCAAAACTGCGAGCACAACACTCTCTCAGAAAGGGACATAACACCTCTGTATATTATCATGACCCAACTGACAACTTTGTGTGTTCTGCTCAGCCCCATTATTGACTCTGACAGTAGGAGGTAACGTCCACCTCCATCCGTCAACCCAGTGAAAATGCACATCTTGACCATCAACCTTGGTCGTTATATCGTCGGGCTTCAGACTTCCATTCTCCCGATGTATGGCATCTATTGACTTGTTGTCGGTGCAATCTTTTCTTAGGACTCGGCTATGGAGGGTTTAGTTTTGATATTGATATACAGTGGTAGGGGGGAGTGGAGGACTTACAGGAAAATATTTTTACCCTCGTCCCGAGATTCGAAGTAGAGTTGGTTTTGGTAGGGCTGCGTATTGGGGATTTTTGTACATGGGAGGTCGTCTGTGAGGGCGGGGGTGGAGAGTGTTGTTGTGAGGAGGAGGATGGAGAGGAGGTTGGCTGGGGAGGATTTGAGGTGCATCTTGGAGTGTATCGCTTTCTAATGGTTTAGTTTGGTGTTTCCGTGTGATATTTGCGTGGTTGAACTTCTACGTTCCTGTTTATGTAAGGTGTAGAAAATAGATGTAAAGTACGTTGTTTCCTGGTAATTCAAGAGAGGAGGAAGATCTTTATATACCTTACGCTACCAGGAATTATTCAGTGATCGCCTGCTCTATGTGAATGCCTACCGTAACGCCCACTTAGTGAGTCACCAACCCTCCTACCTGAGTATAAGTAGCAGACTGGCTGGGTTGCCTTCAAAGTTGTGAAACAGATACCCCGTCCGGCCTGGCCTTCCAGAGACTATCATGAATGTATGAATGTATGAACAAGAGAAGAGGACTGAGTCACCTTTCGATAATTCACAGTCAGAAATACAAGAAAGTGAATAATGTATAGTCTTGCTCTCTAAAGCCTCTTTGAGTAACATGTATGTACGCTCAAGAACTTCCTCTTCACTTATGTATTGAAGACCAAGAGTCAAGCAATATCAAAGTAAGCACTGTGACATATAAAACAAGACAAGACATAAAAACAATTTATACATAATTCACCCTATTTATCAACCCATCTCCCTTGTCCACCCGTCCCATCCATTCTACCACTCTATATTCCATCACCAAAAAGGCAGACAGTCTTGCTTTTACCTACTTCTTCTGAAGAACAAAATCCTCAATCTTCTCTCACCACTGTGATATAATAAAAGTGAAACTAGAGAAGAAAAAAGCCAATCATCCATCCCTCCACCGATTTTGTATCGCTTATCTATGTCATTCATCACGCTCAAAACCTAATCAACCATCCCAACACAAATGTAAAAAAAGGAGAAGAAAAAGGAAAAGAATCCATGAAGAAAATAAATTTTCATCTCAAGAAGTAAAACACAATACACCTCCACAAACATACCATGCATCTACCAATCATCATCATCATCCTTCCCCTTCTGCATCGCGCTCTGTCTAGCCCGCAATGCCTCCGCCAGTCCACCAGCCAAACTGGGCGTAGGCGTACTCCTACCACTATCTGTGCCATTCCCATTGAGACTCATCCCCGAGTCCCTTGGAGCTGGCGGTGGTGCAGGCTTTCTTCCTGCTGCTGGTCTCTTGGCCGGGGGTGTGGGCTTGGGACGAGCACCATTCGTTTTTGCGGCTGGTGGTGGAGGAGGTGTTGGTCTTACGACCGGAGGGGGTGCAACCACAACTTCCTCAAGGTAAGCAGAAGGAGCCCAGCCTTCTGCACCAGAAGCGGTTTTGGCAAGCCACCATCCTATATAATGTTAGCAAAGAAAGACTATACGATTGGGAAACAGGGAGGAGACTTGCCATTACCCTCTTTCTTGAGAATAGAGATAACGTCATCGGGTGTTAGTGTGAGCTCGTTGGCACTTTGTCCCGCAAAAGCATACAAAACCTTGTATTGGGGGTCTCTGGGTTTGGCAGCAGCAGCAGGTGGTGCGGGCGGAGGTGGTGGAGGTACAGATCGACCAGACGACTGCGATGGTACGTTTCTAGTATGATTTGGTATAGAAACTGCGACAGGTTGTGGAGGTAGACTTCTGACAGCCGAAGCTGATCCACCAGGTTGTGATACAGGTTTGGTATTTCTTGTAGAAGTATTGGTGACCCTGGATGGACGACCACCTGGGCCACCGGGCTTGATAAGTCGACCCTTGGTAAAGGGCTTCGCTGGTATTGGCTTCCCCTTAGGCAGTGGGGCAGAAACAGAATTTGGTGCCTCGCCTTGACTGGTATGAACAGCACCGCTCTTGTAAAAATCCTCTTTTACGGTGGAGTCCTTGATGACCTTTACCATTTGCATCTTGTTCGGTTTCTTTGCGTATTCTATTGCATCTGCAATTTTCAGCGTGAATCCAGCAGGCATTGAAGCTTGCATATGCGTAAATAGCTCAGTCTTGAGTACACAGGTCAGAAGAGGATCGGCTTCTTGAGGTGAGCCAACTCCTAACGAGAACCAATCATCTCTACAGACCGATGTACCAACGAATTTGATAGCGCCAAGGGGAATGGCACGCTCGATGGCCACCTGAACTTGCTTGTTGACCAAATGCTGAGCGATGATATAGAATTTCCCTTTTGTTAGGACCAAAATACGAGGACTCAATTTACTCGAACGACCAAACTTTGTTTCCAAAAGTTCTCCACGGCAAGAGAAGATTGCCTGCTCGTTGGGAGGAATATTTGCCGAGGTGCGGATTCTGGCTCCTGACCCACTAGTGGCATTAATTCCAAGATAATCCCCCATGAATCGTCTTGATCCAAGAAGACTGAATCTCCTTCGTTCTTTTCGTCCCTGGAGAACCTTGTGGCCCCTTTCTCTCAAAACGAGGAACTCAGCACCAATCCTCTTCTTTCTCCATACCCGCTGGATACGCGTAGCAGCTTCGATACGAATTCGCAAGAATGCTCGCCAAACTCGCTGAATTCGGATGGCCATGTTGTGCCAGTATCGGTCTCGCATGTGCTCCAAAGCAAACAAAGTCTCAGGGGCCTTGATGAATGCCTTTGTTACACCCATTTGAAACTCCTCAGCAGGAATGCTCGTATCCTTCAAGATCTGTTTTGCACCAGATTTCGAGTCTCCTGTCCATGTGTAATCTCCAGCGTAGGACGTTTGGGGGGATAACAAGTAAAAGCGCTCAACAAACTTATCAAATGTCTGACGGTAGGCAAAACCAGCACGACGAATTCGAACGTTTTCCTGTAGACCGAGATATTTGATTTGATGCATGACATTGGGAACACTGTATTCGGACCAAGATTTGTTCTCGTTGGGCTTGATGGTTCGAATATAAGAGGGCTGTGCTTTCATCAAGGTTGCGACCAGGTCGTTTGCAGATGCTTTGATCTTATCACCAGCCGAAGGTGGTTGTTTTCGATTGTCCTGGTCGACCTGGTGAGGGAATAGAGTATGGAGAAATTTGTTACCACTTTGATCAAACAAGTTGAGAAGGCCCTTCAAGAGCTGGTCCTTGTTTTTATCAGTGATACCGTCAACAGTATAACTGACATCGCCAGCGTAATGCTTAATAATAAAGTTGCCCTGTCGAGGGGTCAAGTGAGGATTTGACATGCCATTGATGGCCGTCATAAAGGTTCGATCACAAGCAGCCGGATCTGCATGTGCAGTTTTGGTAGCATCCTTCATGGCAGAGAAAACTCCTGGGGGCCTCACATTTTCAATGAGATCGCACACGATCTTGTTGTCGAAATACTTGATAGGGGTCCACTTGATCTGTTCTCTTTCATACTCCTCTTGTTCTGCCTTTAGCGTCAGCTGGATGAAGATTTGTTGTAATTTCTCGTTCACATAGTTGATACACAGCTGCTCGAAACTATTCTTCTCAAAGATTTCGAATCCGTAAATATCGAGAATTCCAATTGATTGAGCTGTCGTTCCACGTGCTTTCAAAGCGACATTGACACGACCAACAATCCAATCAAAGAGGTTGTTGTATATTGATTTTGCTAGAGCATCTCTGGTGGCAAGAGCTTGTGCAGGATTTGCAGGCGATTCAATAACTTCCCCGTTTCGTGGTGTGAGAATGCGGATTGTGATTGCCGAGATAAGTTGCTGTGGGTCCACTTCGAGAAGATAAGCGAGAAAGTCCACCACAGATTGATCTGTTACTGCGGCATTTCCATCTTTATCCTCGGCAAACTGGATGTTACCAGTCCATAGAATTGCAGCCAGCATTCTGAAAATTTCGTCTTGTTCTCCCTGCGTCAAACCGATGACCTTCATCGCATTGAGTGTGTCTTGGTACTCGGCAAGATCGTCTATGCCATCTACATCTAAACATTTAGATTTGCTTGTGTAGAGGTATGTTTCTGGTTTCTGGATGCCTAGACTGGTTCTGTAGGTTGACGAGGCTCCCTTTGTGAATTGGTAAAAGATGTGGAAGTTTCGCTCATTGGGGATTTGACCCACAACCCTACTTTTCTCCAGCAAATAGTTTGTGATATCTGCACCCACTGGCTCACCCTGAGCATTGAATTGTAACTGTAGGTATTTTCCAAAGCGAGATGAATTGTTGTTTCGTAGCGTCTTTGCATTTCCAAAGGATTCTAACAAGGGATTCGTCGCAAGCACCATGTCTTTGGTTTCTTGAATCGAGGAGTTTCCGCCGCCAGATACATTGGCAATATATTGCATTAATCGTTTCGCAGCTTCGGTTTTGCCAGCTCCAGACTCCCCGGAAATAATGACACACTGGTTTTCCTTGTAGGCATTCATATTGTAGTAGGAGGCTTCGGCAACAGCGAATACATGAGGTGGCATCTGCGCATATTAGCAGCTACCCAAAATACATCCCATCTTGAGTGTGTACGAACCTCGAGTCGATTCTTGCCCTTGTATGTCTCTAGAACTTCTTCTGTGTATATTCCCACTGTCTTTTATTAGTAGCTCGGAATACTATGATTGTGGGCCAACTCACAATCTCGAAATGGGTTCACAGATACCAGCACATGGCCAATGTATGTCTGCGACATCATCAGTATACCGCTCATAGTCCAGGACTATTGTCCGCCAAATGTCGCCGGATGGCTCACATAGATTTCTCCTCCTTCGAAACGTTTCTTCAAGTTCTCATTTATGGCCTCTGGGCTGACCTTGCTAATCAGCGTAAGATCCGAGACTCCTATCTCCTTCTTCTTTGTGGTATCGAAGGCAGCTTTCTTGATATTTGGTTTTCCCCCAGATGCAGCGCCCCGGCCGCCATCCTGCGCCTGTTTCGCGGCTTTGTCGCCCTTTGGTCTTCGACTGATACCCTATTGGCAGCAGATCGTTAGCTATCCGTGGTTTTCTAATATGCCATATGTCCAAGTTGTTCCATTCTTACCATCTTGGGTGCCTGCCCTTGGCTGACGACAGTGTTTGGATGCGCCCAGCTCGGATGTGATCGGAGATTTTGTTTTTAGGAAGATCTTCTGGCAAGTATTGGAAGATACAGAATACACATATGATACGTTCTTGACCAGAGAAAGCACGCCGGCGGGGTGTATGGACATTCGTTATTTCAAGTTGGAGATTCTGGTCTTTTGGGCACGGAGGTTAGGTTACGAATCGTCAGAGGAGTGGCTGAGCGGTTGTCTCGGCGGGGTTTGTTTTTCCGCTCCGAGGGAGGCTGAACTATTTTTACGCCAGGGTCATCGTTACGAGGCATCGCGAGATGATTCAATTACAACCACCCGTGGACAACCACACCTACACCATATCATACCGACAATATTGCTGATGGGGTCTACCTCATCTCACAGATCCCGAGAAAGACAAATTCCAGCTTCTCCGTTTCTCCGACCACAAGAAGCTGATGGATGCTGCCCTTCGATCGCACTGGTGCCGGCACTTCGTTATCTATACAAAAGTTTGTATAGGGACCTCGTCACCTAGGAAGGTCCTGCAACTCGTGTTGTCCTCTGCCGGCGCTGTCATCATTTTCCTTTTCTTTCCGCCTCTAGCGCCCAGTTCCATTGATCGATCTCAAAATACGTGATCCCACGGTCATGTGCGAATCATGCTTGGATTTACCGCTGCATAGCCCTATGTACCACCGCAGCAGAAGCAGACAGAGACAAGAGATGGTTGTTGGTTGAGTGTCAAAAGCAGGTTGAGCAATCCCAAGCCTTGAGCATAACAGAACATGCAACACCCGAAGAGTTCTTTCGTCAAAGCTCCAAAGCTGAGTGCACGGAAGCCGGATCACTGGTGGCATTTGCCTTTTGCCTCTACCAGTACGAGTACTCCGTACTTGAATCCTCTACGCAGCGCTTTCGTCCGCCATACGGAAAATGGTTCAGGTGCCCCAATTTTGAGTCGGTATCGCGTTGGATGACCGAGAGAAAAGCCAGCAGGTTGTAGGTCGTGATGCTGGGCAACTGTACGAAACAGCCCACCACTATATTGTCAAAACCGAACCTTTCTTTAGAACACTTGAGGCACTGACAAGAGTTATAGATCTTAGTATCCATTGCCCTCGGATGAAGTAAGGTGATTTAATACTGCGCAGGTGATCAGTTCTGTTGTCGGGCGTGGATCGCGCAGTCGTGGGCAAGTCGCACAATCCTTGAATTCAACAGGAGACAATGGAATCCCCACACCCTGCTTGTGGCAATGGCAGCGGGGTTATTCTCAAGAAAAAGACATCGAAATAATCGAGCTATCTTGGCTGTCGCTCAGGTTTTGCCGTTTCTTGTCGGGGTTTTACATTGGCGAATTCCACGAATTTGTCCTGATGCACATCTTGGTTCTACTTCGAAGTACTAAGCAAAATGCGCCGGTCAACAGCAAAGCTTTATGATACACTCATGGACCTTTCAACGGAAATTTTTTGGCTTCATCCGCCGTTACGGGGGATCCTTTACCTTGGTATTGAAGCCCCAAGTATTGGCCTCTCGCGGAGTACGCATGGGTAGAATTGGCAGAGTAAGAATCAAATTGCCGATACACCGAGAACAAATGTATTTTCATTGGTTGTAGGTGCCATGGTTATGGATTACAAACAGACTCAAGGAGAATCTCGCCGTCAAAACATTGAAGGAAGTCCATGTGCCGCGATATTCTATGACCAGAGGTTCTGCCATCACTGGGGTGACTCATATCATTAAATCAACGAGTTCACGTCCGTGACTTTTACAACAGACTACAGCTTATGAGAATCCTGGCAGCATATTTTGTCATATATATCAACACACGAGACTATCCGAAGGGAGCGTTTCTCAAGAAGTTTTGGGGCTCGAAAAGTTCAAAATTTCGTCAATGGATTGGCCTTTATAAAAATGGGACCTTATCGTGGCAGCGTTTCCTGCAGGTCATACACAAGCACCTCAACCCTACTTCTCGTGTTCATCACCATATAGGACAAGTCTCTACTGCATCTAGCTTCGAAAAGAACGAAGTGTTTAATGATACTCGCATATAAATACTTGGCGATTGTGTCCTTGAGACCTCCTTGTCAGGACCAACCTTTTCGACTAATACCAAGCACAATGCAAAAGGTAATTCCTAGGAATTAATTGACCAGTGGCGATACATAGGCGAATTCGGAAGCAATCAATCACTATTTGTTTATTGGGTAATGTTATTCTTTATACTCCCCGAACTGAGATCAAACGAATCGTCAAAGGCCGAATGATAGTTCGTCGCTACCTTCAATAACGTTTCTTCGCCCTCTATATTTACCACATCAATACTTGGTAGCAGTCCCAAACAGCTTGCGGTTCTTTTTTCGTCCGAATTTTCTTTGCAACAGATTCCATTCTGATACTCCGTGCCCAATTGGTTTTATATGGTATTTGGGATGGAAGTGGTACTAAAGCTCTTTTCTATAACAACACTTTCTTACGGCCTATGCCATAATCTCCCAAAACTAAAGTCGACGAGGACGTCTTGGGGAAAGTGGTAGATCTTATTATCTTATAGCTGCTTTGTCACAAATGAATACTGCGTATTCATGTTGTTTTCAGAGGGGCAATCAAGGTTCGCCATGTTAAGGTTATGGATACGCCATCAACCCGCTAAGGCTGTCCATGGACTTCCAGGTTCCATTTCTGGGGAAAAAGAAGAGGATCATCACGTGTCGAGAACTGACTCAAGAATCCTGCAGGTGGGTCCCACGGGCTGCCCACCCTCGGATGTTTCCGTTTTCGACTGGGGAAGTGGGCCAAGAACCAAGGCCGTGTGTGGCAGATACGCTTTTGGAACACGATTGTTTTACATTTTACAAATTCATCTTACGCATGTTCTCATGGATCGGTTTTCTATAGGAAAGATCTGTAAACCACCATGAGTAGAATGCAATGGCGATCAGAACCACTGAGGGAATCTCTCCAACAGTTTGCCCGAAGAAGTTCGGACCCAAACCGGAGTTTTTACAAATCTCTCCGACTAAAACTATACGAAGTACCAAGTACAGTATTTTTCCATTCTGAGAGTCTGATTGTCTGAGACTAGATTGGGACTAATACCGTATACGCATCGTGTTAGTCACATTGACAAGATTATATGTCTTTAGCAATCTTCAGCAAGTTTGATTACCCGACCAAGAGATCTGATCGGTGTGTTGGTATTGTATGCGTGCAGCGTGCAGCGTGCAGCGGGCGAGGGTTGGAACTAAGCGCCTGCAGGCTCCTGTGATGTCCCCTTACCGTAGCAGTACCTGCGTGGACCAATGGTGATATTTTGTCAAGTTAGCATCTCATTGGTCCTCGAGATATTGGTCGTACGAGAAATGTTTCATGGGACAAGAGTGTGGGCGGCAAGAGGAATCCTTCAGAAGATCGGCTCGATATGACTTTGACAATACTTCCTGACATTTTTACGTCGTCCACGAACCAGGTTGATGATGATGATGGGCACAGTAGAGTGTGACATTTGACGGACGGGCTCCGTGTTGACATTGTACAGTATGGTCTGGGGTCTCGACGTGGAAGCTCGTCCTCTCAAAGGTCCTCCAAAATCAAACGGCAGGACGTTGATGCGACAGGATTTTCTGACGAACTGAAGATTGGACGAGTCAGAAGCGGACCTTTGCCGTATTTTTACCATGGCGGTGACATAAGAGCGAAGTTGAGGCGACTGGTCCGTGTTTGTGTCCAACTTGAGTATGCTGCATAGAGGAGCACATATCGTGGGATCAACAAAGTATGAAGTACTTGGAAGTATGAAGTACTTCTTGGGAATTGTACTGTCGAGACGCCATACGAATGGCTTCGTCCATAGGGGTCTGGTGGATAGTTGATCGTGCCTGGATTGGATTGGGGTGTGTATAGGTTGAGCAAATTCTTTTCTCTGGTCCTCAGTCCTCTTTCATCCCATCCCATCTCATCCCATCCCATCCCCATCCTCCTTCCCATTCTATTTTCCACCAGCAAGCCTTTTCCACTTCCTCCTGGAGTTGGCTGGTTGACTGGTTGACTTCTTCGCTTGGCCCTGAGCGCCGTCGGCTCGCTGTGCTTCTCGTCCTTTCCCAACCAATCCTGGATCAGACGAAGCGCCGGGAGCTTGGCCGAATGTCCGTGGCCTGTCCAATGTCCAATGGCCATAGCCTCATTGCCCTGTCGATATGGTTGCCAAAGACGCCATTACTAGGCTGTAGGTGTGGTGTTTTCGATATGAACATGCCACTTCTTCCTCCTCATTTCTGTGCTGCCTTCGCTCTGATTTATATGATTTTACAGCCTTTTTCAAAATCGTACGATTCTTCGAACGACTTCTCTTGCCAATTCTGCACTCACATCCCGAGACCCCTGATGAGCCCCTGGTCCCTTTGCTGCCATCCGTTCACCGTTCAATATTCCGACCATTTGAGACTGGCGCGGTGCCGACGCCTGGGGACGGTCAATGCGACGGCAGTTCTTGCGACACTCAACGTCTCAGAAGCCTCTCAGACGCCCCTCTTTCTGGCCAAGCTTTGATGACAGTCCCTCATCCTGGAGAATATCACCACTGGATTAGGAGGCCGAAACCTTTTGCAACGTCTGGTCTTCGACACAACCGTCCAGCCCGATCCGCGCCATCGCCTAATTCTGAAGTTGGGATGACAGTTCGCTGAACACTTGCTGACTACTCGGTACTCTGTCAATCTACTTGGAAGTATCTTCCTTGAACCGCCATCGCTGCCGACCGGCGACCACTCAGAAGCCCACTCCGACCACCCCCAGCGAGTTCCATGGAACTTTTGTTATCCGATCTTGTACCCCACGAACTACCGCACGAGCGTCATCTTTGAACGGGCAGGCCACAAGGGTTGACTTCCCGCCCTAAATCATATAAGCCCCTTGATCCCCTTTCGCATCTCTTCTCTACCTAGTGTCACAGGCGGGTAGCTAAGCTTTTCGCCTTTAACCATATCATCTCGCACTCCTGCTGGCTCAGTCCTCTATTCATTCCTTCTCCTGGTGCGGGTTCGACGTATTAATAATTTAGTGAGAGGTGTAGAGAAGTCGTCGTTCGTTTATCGAATTCTCATTTAGCATCTTCGACCGAGACTCAACTGTCGGTACCGTCGCTGGTCGACTTTTTAATAATACTTTGGGCTTTTGGGGCGAAACAAACGACAAGATGGGGTTCTTATCATATATGAAAACGCAAACGCGAGGGTCGAAACTGCTGTTCAACTTTTTGTTTCACGGCTTTCACTGTGGTCTTTTCGCATTCGGATGGTACGTCGTTTGGTGGAAGCCTTTTGGCAATCAACACAGGATGCTAATGTGGTCGTATAGGTACAAACAAGCTACGGAAAAACGACTCGCTGGTCTCAACTCCCTCACATTTTCGGTATGGCTGTCTCGAGGAGCAGGATTGGTTTTGTCGGTGGACGGTGCAATGATTCTATTACCGATGTGCCGGAATCTCTTGAAATGGATCAGACCGAAGATAAAGTTCATTCCATTGGATGAGTCGCAATTCTTTCATCGACAAATCGCATATTCATTGGCCTTTTGGTCCGCCGTCCACACTCTTGCTCATTATGTCAAGTAGGTCAATGCTACGACTACTTGCAAATCCCCCTCTGACATGAAATAGTTTCTTTAATGTTGAGAAGACCCAAATTCGTCCTCAAACCGCCATTCAGATTCATTATGGAGATGCCGGTGGAATTACTGGACATATCATGTTATTGATTATGATGCTCATGTACACCTCGGCGCACGCTAAAATCCGACAACAATCTTTTGAAACTTTCTGGTATACCCACCACCTTTTCATTCCTTTCATGCTTGGACTTTACACTCACGCAACTGGGTGTTTCGTCCGTGACACTCCCCTTCCCTTCTCACCTATCGGAGACCACGAGAACTTCTGGACTCACTGCATTGGTTACGAAGGTTGGCGATGGGAGTTATGGGGTGGTGGATTGTACTTTTGTGAGAGAATTTACCGTGAAATCCGTGCTAGAAGAGAAACCAAGATTGTTCGTGTCGTTCGTCATCCATACGGTAAGCTCTCCCTATTTTGTTTTATGTGCAATACATACTAATATCACAACAGATGCCATGGAAATCCAGTTCAAGAAACCATCAATGAAGTACAAGGCAGGACAATGGTTGTTCCTCAACGTTCCTTCCGTCTCTTATCAACAATGGCATCCATTTACCATCACCTCTTGCCCATTCGATGAATATATTTCCGTTCACGTTCGACAAGTTGGTGATTTTACTCGCGCTCTCGGAAATGCTCTCGGAGCCGGTCCAGCACAAGCCAAGCTCTATGAGGGAGGTGATCCAAATCAAATGTACGAAGTCGCTCTCCAGAATGGACAAGAAATGCCCACTCTACGAATCGATGGACCATACGGAGCACCAGCCGAAGATGTTTTCGATAACGAAATCGCCGTCCTAATTGGTACCGGTATCGGTGTCACCCCTTGGGCCGCCATCCTCAAGAACATCTGGCACATGCGCAACGGACCTAATCCACCAACCCGTCTTCGTCGTGTCGAATTCATCTGGGTCTGCAAAGACACCACTTCCTTCGAATGGTTCCAAGTCCTCCTCTCCTCCCTCGAATCCCAAAGTCAAGAAGCCGCCAACCGCCCAGGCATGGCCGGCACCGAATTCTTGAAGATCCACACCTACCTGACGCAAAAACTCGACAGCAACACCGTGAACAACATCATCCTAAACAGTGTCGGTTCCGCCGTCGACCCGCTGACCGAACTCAAATCACGAACCAACTTCGGCCGTCCAGATTTCGGCCGCATTCTCGAGACGATGCGGGAGGGGATCTTGGATCGAACTTACTTGAACGGTCTGGAGGGCAGCGTGCGAACGAATGTTGGTGTCTACTTTTGTGGACCTAACGTCGCGGCCAGGGAGATTAAGAAGGCGTGTAAGAAGGCCTCTGTGCCGGAAGTCAATTTCTCGTTCTGGAAGGAGCATTTCTAGGTTTCCTCCTTGCCCTTTCTACTTTTTTATATTTATATGATGTATACCAATCAAAAGGTCGTCAACCTTACTTTATTATAACTCGAAGAATAGAAGATATAAATATTTATATATGGACTGCATCAGAAGACCTAGAGGACTCTTCTCGAACAAGGCGGATGGATTGAGAAGATGTTTCGTAGGACTTATTTCCCATGGATACATGCATGCCTTTTCATGGCCGGAACGTGCGTGCGTGCGGAACTGGATTTTGCTTTGGATGGATGACTGGGTCGGCCTGTTTACACCATACCATATGGTGTTTGCATTATATTTTGCGTCGGAGAGCTTAAGCTCGACCTTGAGCTTATCATATCCATGCCGCCATTGTCAGTGCCATCTTTTTCCTTCTTTCTCGTTTATGACATAGTCCCAAGTTATTACTAGATACCTATTGGCCTTACTATAACTTATCCATTCATCTTAATGGCAAAGTATTTTTTGCTTTATACATTACCGTACTTTTTCTTCTCTTCGGAAATATTTTTCTATATTACCGCAATTATTCTCCTTGGTAATTCGGATATTTCGTCATTGGCTTTCTGAGATACTTTGGAGCTTTCTTTGGGGTTCTTTGGTTGGTCATTGGGGGGACTTGGTAGTCTTACTTGGGATGGGGACTGGTGGGATTTATGTAGGTTAATCTTGGCTTTTATAGGATTTGTAGTTGAGTTTTATTTCGTGGATGCTAGGTACTGTACGTATGACGGAAATGTCTTGGGGTGAGCTGGAAGAGGGTGAGGTATTTGGATGATGTCCTGCTTTTTCTTTTCTTTTACTCGCACTAGAGGAAATAGCTTCTTTCTGAATACATCACTTCAAGTCTCCCCTTTCGCTTTCACGTTATTATATTTATTGTGATTGTATATAGTCAATTGAATTAACCTCCATTCCACCATCTAATCCGCACTGAGAATCTCCTTCAAGATGCGTGGAATCCAAATTACAGAATACGTCAAGGTAAAATACTTACTCCCAACATCAACCAATCCCCATCATCAACTGAAAAAGAAAACTCACATTAGGGACCCTCGGAACTAACAGTAACCACCATCCCCGATCCCACGCCCTCGCCAACACAATACTTAATCTCCATCCAAGCAAGCGCAACCAACTTCTTCGACATCCTCCAAATCAGCAACAAAAACCAAAACCAGCCGCCCCTCCCCTTTCTCTCAGGCGACGAATTCTCAGGAATCATCCTCTCGGTGCCCTCCTCCATTTCAGCCCCCAAATTCCGCGTCGGTGACAGAGTATTTGGGGCCTCACAAGGCGGCTACGCGACCAAGATCTGTGTCTCGGAAGCATCGCTGCGTCCGGTGCCAGAAGGTTGGTCTTTCTCTGGAGCCGCAGGCCTCTTCATCACAGCACCTACTGCATACGGGGGGTTAGTCACTCGGGCGGGGATCAAAGAGGGCGATTGGGTGTTGGTACATGCTGCAGCCGGCGGCGTAGGACTTGCTGCTGTGCAGATAGCCAAAGCATTCGGGGCAACGGTCATCGCGACTGCTGGGACGGCGAGGAAATTCGAGGTTGCAAAGTCCTATGGCGCGGATCACTTGATCGACTACAACGATGCTACATGGCCGGCGAAAGTCAAGGCTCTCACGCCGAACGGACGAGGCGTGGATATTGTCTTTGACCCTGTAGGTCTTATTGATTTGAGTACCAAGTGTACGAGGTGGAATGGACGGCTTGTCGTAGTTGGTTTTGCGGCTGGCAACATTGAGAGGTTGCCGCTGAATAAGGTGTTGCTGAAGAATATTAGTGTGCTGGGTGTGCATTGGGGTGCTTATAGGATTCATGAGCCGGAAGTTATTGATGGTGTTTGGGAGGGCATTTTCAAGCTTATTAGAGAGGGTAAGTTTAGGGGGACCGTGTTTACGGATAGGGAGTTTGTGGGATTGGAAAAGGTTCCCGAGGCTTTGGAGAGTTTGAGTAGGAGAGGGACTTGGGGGAAGGTTGTCGTCAAGGTTCCTCAAGAGGGGCAGACGAAGTTGTAGATTGCCCTTTTTGGGGTTTCTCTAAGAATTGGTTTCTGTCTTGGAGATACCGACAAGACGTCGGGTCGGGACGAGACGAATCTTGGATAAAAAGAATACTCCGTATAGTAACCGAGTATAGCGGCTTGAGCGGCTATGGCTCCATCAGGAACCGAACCGAGGTCCGAATATTGACAGGGGCTCTAGTCACGTGAATAAATAAAGATTGCTACCCATAGCTATAGGTAGCTATAGCTACCTACCCATGAATCTCTTGCTCTTGGTCTGATCTGTATAGTTATTCAGAGTAAGTTGGTTTATATTTTTAGTATATGATGAAACAGACTGAGTCAACAAACCGCTATCCACTTGGTAGGCTCGAGGTAGGTACGGTACAGTAGCAAAAGTGGAAGCTGTTACCGGATGTGGCTTGAGAAGCCAATAGATGTACATGGAAGCTGAGTCGTAACTTCATCAGCAAGCATCGCATCACATCGCAACTTGGAGTAATCCAGTCTCACTTTTGACTCTTTCTCAAATCAATCTTCCAACAATAACACCCACTAATTCTTCACTCATACAACCATTCCCAAAAGGTTCAGCCAACGGGTATTCTCGACCTCACCTGCAAGACACAGGAGACCTCGCCTACCACGCCACCCCCCTCCCCCTGCTCCCCTGTCCTCCCCAACGTCATTTAGCCGCCACACCTTNAGACACAGGAGACCTCGCCTACCACGCCACCCCCCTCCCCCTGCTCCCCTGTCCTCCCCAACGTCATTTAGCCGCCACACCTTTCGACACTCCAGAAGCACCAAAACACCTCAAAGCCTATTCAGCTCAACCCCTCCACCTCCCCACCATCTGCATCTGCATCTCACACACAGCGACAGCTACCCAGGTAGTTCACGCCATAAAATGGCCGACGAGAGCAACCCCGTCGAGGACGCTCCTCAAGTCAACTTCAAGGTCAAAACTTCGAGCGATGGCAACCATAATATCACCATGTCCGAGGCTGCCACCGTCCTGGACCTCAAGACTAAACTCGCCGGCGACGATTTTGAAAAGATACCCGTGGAGAGACAACGACTCATCTATTCCGGACGAGTGATGAAGAACGAGGATCCGCTCAGTACATACAAGATCAAGGCTGGCAATACGATACATATGGTCAAGAGTGCCGCAAGTAATACTACCAATGCCGCTGCCTCTAGCGCAACTATACCAGGTGCTGGCGTGCCAACTAATATGGCTGCTGGAACTGCGAATAATCCTCTGGCTGGATTGACAGGTGCGAGATATGCCGGACATGTACCATTACCAGGAGCAGAGATGTTTGGCGCAGATGGAGGTGTATGTTCTTTTATATAGAGATGTGATATCATACGCTAACAAAATCCAGATGGGTGCCCCTCCAAGTGAAGACGCAATGGCCCAGATGCTTGAAGACCCCAACATCCAACAAACCATGAACGAAGCTCTACAAAACCCCGCCGTCGTTGACATGATGATTAATTCCATCCCCGGTCTCCGCGATAATCCTCAAGCTCGACAAATGCTCCAATCCGAAGAATTCAGACGTATGATGACGAATCCCGAGGCGATGCGACAAGCTGCTCAAATGCAGAGATTGATGCGTGGTACTGCGGGAGGCGCATCTGCTTTCCCAGCTCCAGGAGTGACGGATAATACACCAGGAGCGGGAGGAGCTACAGGTACACCGAATGCTAGCACACCGGCTGCAAATCCCTTTGCGATGTTTGGTCCTCCTCCTGGTGCGGGTGGTGCGAATCCCTTTGCGGCTCTTCTGGGTGGTCAAGGCGCTGCTCCTCGAGCCCCGGGTTCAGCAAGTCCACCATCAGGTACAGACGCCGCGGCTGCAAATCCATTTGCCTCACTTTTTGGAGGTGCTGGTGTTGGAGCCGGTGCTGGTGCAGGAGCTAGCCCATTTGGACTTCCATCCATGACACCGGAGATGATGGAGCAAGCAATGGCAATGTTCGGTGGTGGTCGAGGTGGTGATCTCTTTGGTGGTTTGGGAGGTGGTCGAGGTGGTTCAGCGAGTCCTCCACCTCCAGCTGATAGGAGACCACCCGAGGAGATGTATGCGGATCAACTGAGACAGTTGAATGATATGGGGTTCTTTGATTTTGATCGGAATGTTCAGGCGTTGCGGAGAAGTGGTGGGAGTGTACAGGGGGCTATTGAACAATTGCTATCATAAGCTAGTTGATTGTACGTGAGTTGGTCTGCAGAGAAATCACGCGTGGATTATAGGGCGAATCAATAATGATGGTCTTTTTTCCATATTCTACCTGAGAGAGGAATGAGTGTGCGCGGATGGGATGGGATGAGTGAAATGAATAGTTAGTGAGTGGTTGAAGGGAAGAAGGAAGGAAGGAAAGAGAGAATAGTGGTGTTGTGATGGGTTAGTGGGTACTGGTCACTTTGCTAAGTAGGTAGGCTGATAGGCTGGTAGATAGGCATAAGCTGTTCTTTCTTCTTCTTCCCTCTTCTTTTCTCTTCTGCTTTGAATACTTCGTCGGTGTGTTTTTTGATTGGATGGGTATGGGTACTTGGGAGATGGTGAGTAAATTGCGAGGAGAAGGGGAATCATACCTACGTTTTCCTTTTTTTTTGGTAATTCCTCTGCTCTGGAAGGGATACTCGAGTACTGACTTTGATATAATTCCTCTCGCGTTTTCGTTTTCCAATCTCTGGGAATTATGGGCTGTGAGCCTGTGAAAAGGTAGACTTCCACTTCTACCAGCTTCTATATTTTTAGTACTGTAAGAAAGACGGTTGGGCGAAACTCTAGATTATACACACCTATCCTAGATAGGTTGGTTACTGTAGCAAAAGATCTTAATATGAATTCTAAAAAGGTCTTCGTAGTATATTTAATCTCAATGGGTTCTTTGAGTGAGTTGGGTTTATAGAGAATCAGAGATATTTGCTTCAGGAATTCTGGTAGATACTATACTATGGTTCTGATTTTTAAAGGTGGGTCTGGAGCTTTGAATCATTGTTTTGTAATATAATAAGATATTGTGGATTAGGTTGTTTAGGGTATATAGCTCGTAGATAGATCGCTTTGGATGTTTGCACGCTACGGGGCTTATGGCGTTACACAGTGAGCTGAATGGGAGAGTGAAATCCCTTTCATTGGCTTTTTTTTACTGGTATATAGGGAGAATATGTTACTTCTCGTATTAATATAGATAGCTTTTTACCGTGCTGACTTCCTCTTGTTCCTACGACGGATATACTCAGACACTTGTAGGATGGAGATATGTGTTTGTACGGGATTCGACGGTGGGTTCGTACTAAAGGGTGGAGGGGAGGTGAATGTTTGGATTGTGGAGTTTGGGTAAGTATAAGAGTAAGAAGTATGAAAAGGGAGGTTATTTATGATTGTTTAGGTAAAGAGGTAGAGTTTGAGATGGGTCAATATAAATCAAGGATAAGGAACACGGTTAGAATTCATAACGTCTTTTATCGTTGTGATCTTTTCCTTGCTATTCCTGACGAGATGGAGAGGTGTTTAAATATGTATGTACCGATGATCTTTTCTTCTGTAACAGTGTAATAGAGTGAGTGACATATCTACTTGACGTTTTTCTATTTTACTAGGTGTCTAATAACGACTTTGATTTGTTTATCTATAGGGATATTAAATATTGGGAATTTGAGCTTGAATATCTTTTGTGGTTATATATACGAGGGTAGGGGTGTCCTACTATTAAGATAGTCTATTGTACTAGAGAAGAGAGAGTATAGGTATATACTTCTGTGTCGAGAGTCAGGAGATATGTACGGAGAAGGTTATTCGAAGCTTTCTTCCTAAAGCGGAATTATATAAGAAGTTTGTTTAGGGGTTTAGTATGATAGGTTAGTATTATAAACTTCGATAGGGTAATTAACTTGTCTTGTTATATCTTGGCTTGGCTTTTCGTTTTTCTTTTCTTTTCTTTCCTTCATTTTTCTTAGGTAATAGAATGAAATACCGAGTAGAGTAAGATAAAATAGGAAGTCTATTAGGGTATTACTCGGAGCGTACAAGGACTATTCTAGAATAAGGTTAAGATTAATCGCGAGTCTACTAAGAAGTCCTAGAGCTAGCTATTATTTATATATAATAAAAGGCTACGCTATTCCCTATTAGGAAGCTCTACGCTAGCCTTAAACAGGTAACTCTACCCTACTATTATATTTACTAAGCGAAGTACTAAAACTATACTAAACTATGTTTACTTACACGAGAGCCCTTATAAAGTCGTTACCTATCTACTATAAGTATTAAATTAAACTAGCTAGGTAACTAGTTTTTGTTAGGTTATGTGACGACACGTACGCAAGGCCCACGGTGTAGGTTGTGGAATCGTAGAACTGTCAATTAAACAAAGATTCTAAGCTGAGGAGAAGAGGAGAGCTCGAGAGAGCTTCGATCTAAATACTTGGTGTGGGTCGCTAAGCGAGACCACGTGATCCGAATGGTGGTGACGGTTAGAACCGTCACATTACCCCCCCCTTTGAAAAAAGCTTGCCCTCAAGCTTGTAGGCATCTCCGTATTATCATCTAATTCTTCGTACAAATCCATTCCATCCTCCCAAGCCTTTATCCATTCCGGCAATCGACGTGGTGGTCCTGGCTTTGTAGGGTACTGTAAGTGAAAGCTTCGAAGTTTGTGTGGCGAATACTTGAAATCGCAAGCAGGATACCATTCTGGGTCTTCATCGTAACCTACCCACTTTGCCCTGTAGTATATCGCACTTCTTACCTTCTTTACTGCAATCACTTCTTCCACCTCCCACACCTTGTCGTCCGTAACCTGGATTGGTGGAGGTGGCTCGTTTACCTGCCCTGGCAAAGGATCGTCCGAAGCTTTCCGTAATCTGTCCGTTGAGAACACTGGGTGCACTTTCATAGAGGCTGGCAGCTTGACTTCGTAAGAGTGCCCTACTTTTCGAATAACCTCGTAGGGGCCTGCCATCTGGTGGTCTAACTTGTGACTAGGGCGCTCTGTTGTCCAATTCCTAGTAGTTACCCAGACTTTGTCTCCTACATTGAAGTCTACTTCACGTCGGTGGGGGTCAACATCTCTTCGCTTCTTGTCCTGTGCTTCCTTCATAATCTTACGAGCTGTTTCCCACGCTTCTTGGAGCTTCTTAACCACTTGCTGTGCCTCTTCCTGGTTCAGCTTTTCCTTTGGCGTGGCAGGGTTTGGCGTATTCCAGTCAAAAGAGGTACGGGGAGGATAGGCGTTCAGGAGCTCGAAAGGCGACATTCCAATGCTCTCGTGAGGCAGTGTCAGCTGAGCGTAATCCATGATAGGTAGCAATTCAGACCAGTTATCCTGGTAGTCTGCTGAGGGAGGATAGGCGTTCAGGAGCTCGAAAGGCGACATTCCAATGCTCTCGTGAGGCAGTGTCAGCTGAGCGTAATCCATGATAGGTAGCAATTCAGACCAGTTATCCTGGTAGTAGTTGACAAAGGGGCGTAAGCGCTGATCCAAGTACTGGTTCATTATTTCCGTCTGTCCGTCCGTTTGAGGGTGGAAAGCAGTGGACAGCTTGATCTGAATACCTAGTATTCGGCAGAATTCAGTCCAGAAGTTAGAGATAAATTGCGGACCTCTGTCCGAAACAATTGTCTGTGGCGCTCCACGATGTCTGTAGACGTACGAAACATAAAGCTGGGCCNAATTCAGACCAGTTATCCTGGTAGTAGTTGACAAAGGGGCGTAAGCGCTGATCCAAGTACTGGTTCATTATTTCCGTCTGTCCGTCCGTTTGGGGGTGGAAAGCAGTGGACAGCTTGATCTGAATACCTAGTATTCGGCAGAATTCAGTCCAGAAGTTAGAGATAAATTGCGGACCTCTGTCCGAAACAATTGTCTGTGGCGCTCCACGATGTCTGTAGACGTACGAAACATAAAGCTGGGCCATGTCCTTGGCAGTTGTAGTTTTGTAACAAGGTATTGAGATGCTTTGCTTGCTGAGGCGGTCAATAACNACCTAGTATTCGGCAGAATTCAGTCCAGAAGTTAGAGATAAATTGCGGACCTCTGTCCGAAACAATTGTCTGTGGCGCTCCACGATGTCTGTAGACGTACGAAACATAAAGCTGGGCCATGTCCTTGGCAGTTGTAGTCTTGTAACAAGGTATTGAGATGCTTTGCTTGCTGAGGCGGTCAATAACTACATAGGCTGTATCGTAACCGAACTTGTCCTTTGGGAATGACTTGAAATCCATGGTAACGTGCTGCCACGGGCGGTCTGGAACTGGTAGCGGGTGAAGGAATCCTGGCGTACGGTCTCGAGGAACGTGGGCTCGCTTACAAGCGTGGCAGTTGCGNTTGTAACAAGGTATTGAGATGCTTTGCTTGCTGAGGCGGTCAATAACTACATAGGCTGTATCGTAACCGAACTTGTCCTTTGGGAATGACTTGAAATCCATGGTAACGTGCTGCCACGGGCGGTCTGGAACTGGTAGCGGGTGAAGGAATCCTGGCGTACGGTCTCGAGGAACGTGGGCTCGCTTACAAGCGTGGCAGTTGCGAATATATCGGGCTACATCCTTAGTAAGACCTTTCCAATAGTACTTCTGGCTGAGGATTCGCGCTGTTTTTGCTTTTCCAGGGTGCGCGGAGGAAATNAGCAGGAAATCCATGGTAACGTGCTGCCACGGGCGGTCTGGAACTGGTAGCGGGTGAAGGAATCCTGGCGTACGGTCTCGAGGAACGTGGGCTCGCTTACAAGCGTGGCAGTTGCCAATATATCGGGCTACATCCTTAGTAAGACCTTTCCAATAGTAATTCTGGCTGAGGATTCGCGCTGTTTTTGCTTTTCCAGGGTGCGCGGAGGAAATCTGATCGTGAGCTTCTCTAATCAGATCAGCTACTAGGGTATCTTGTGTAGGAACCACTAATCGTTCTTGGTAGAAAAGTAGGAAAGACCTTTCCAATAGTACTTCTGGCTGAGGATTCGCGCTGTTTTTGCTTTTCCAGGGTGCGCGGAGGAAATCTGATCGTGAGCTTCTCTAATCAGATCAGCTACTAGGGTATCTTGTGTAGGAACCACTAATCGTTCTTGGTAGAAAAGTAGGTCGTTGTCTAACTGAAAGTCTCCTGGTTGATCCTCTGCTTGCTTCCGAAGGGCTTCGAGTGATTCTGCTGTACGGTTGGCTGTCAAAATTCGCTCTACTAATTGGTTTGGCTCTCGCATTGCCTCGTCCAAGGGAGCGAGCTCCAGGCTATTGTTTTCCAGGATCGCTGGGTCAAGTTGTTCCGGCTGAAGCAAAGCCTTTGTACGAATGAAAGCTTTAAGCTCGTCCTGAAGACCAACGTCTTGTTCTCTTCGTGTGAGAGCATCAGGTTGAG